GACACAACACCGCCTCAAAGGCTGTACACACACATACATATACCTGAACACACACACACAAGTTTATTCAGTGGCCTTCAATTTACAGCAGTTCGTTTAGTGACTATTCAAAGTTGCAGCGGGAGTGAAAAAAGTGAGCTATGGTCATTTTTCACTCTTATAACTGTTGCAACATCTCCACGGTCACATGATCAAAATTCAGACATTTGGCAACTGATTCATGTTTGTGATGGTTTCCATGTCTTTTGTGACCTTATGACAAGCAAAGTCAATAGGGAAGCATATTACTTACCTTAACAACTGCAGTGATTCACTTAACAACTGTGCCAGAAAGACCGTAAAATGAGACAAAACTCGCTTAATAATTATCTCACTTAAGCAACAGAAATTTGGCTTAATTGTGATTGTAAGTTGAGAACTACCTGTATTCTTTTTTCCTTCTAGTGTTCATATATTCTTCACCATTCATATATGCCTTCACTGTGCTTTACATGTGTATACCAGGGGTGAAATGCTCCCAGTTCGAACCGGATCACCCGATCCGGTAGCGATGGCGGCGGGTGGTTCAGAGAACCAGTAGCAAAAATCCCTGCCCCCCACCACCACCACCATGCCTAGCTGAGCCGCACGATCATCAGAGGCTTTTTTTTTTTACTTTTAAAAGCATTTTTTCTACAACCTCTTCCGACGAAAAAATGCTTTTAAAAGGAAAAAAAAAAGGCCCTGATGATCGCGCGGCTCAGCTGGGATCGTCAGAGGCTTTTCAAAGCATTTTTTTCTGCAACCTCTTGGCCGAAGAGGTGGTAAAAAAAATGCTTTGAAAAGTCTCTGACGATCCCAGCTGAGTTGCCTGATCAGCAGAGGCTTTTCAAAGCATTAGAAAAAATGCTTTGAAAAGTTTTTTTTTAAAAAAAGTTGGCCACGCCCACCCAGTCACATTACCAGGGCCGGATTTTCCTATAGGCTAACTAGGCTTCAGCCTAGGGCCTCAAGATCAAGAGGGGCCTACATTCAAATTGTTAGCAAAATTAAAATTACACTTTCACTATAGGTGAAAGGGCCTCATAAGTGGAATAGCCTAGGGCCTCTTTTCATCTAAATTCGGCCCTGCACATTACCCCCACCACCACCAAGCCACGCCCACAGAACCGGTAGTAACAAATTTTACATTTCACCCTTGGTGTATACACATACATACACACATCCACTTTTTCGTTCTCCAGGTGAAAAGGATGGGTTTCTACCCGAGTGTGCAATCCTAGATAGCTGGGTATTATACAACATTGTTACATGTTTATAGTTTTATCTCCTCTTCCATGGAGGAAATGTCATATTAAATTCAGGGTCATCTTCTTTTTTTCTTTAAAAATGGTACCTATTTACATTTCACAAATTACCATTTAAAACTACAAAAATTTATTTATTTTGTATATAATTTTTATTAAACAATTTTTAAAAAACAAACAAACAAAAAACAGAAACAAAAACAGATATTTACATCTTCTTTTCAACATCTTTGCATCAGTAATCCATATTTATACATTTTCTCTTTCTTATCTTAATATATTTTTTATACATATATTTCTAGCATATCGTATATATATATATATACCACTATAATATATTCTCTTAATCTAAATATTTTATTTACATTTAACATAAACCGGTACTTAATTTCCTTTCCACAATTTATATCTTCCCATTTGTTTCCATATTCCTCCACCTAATTTAACCATTGTTTAGTTTTCTTTTGTCCCCTCCCCCTTTCCCCCCCCCCTTTCTCCTCCAACCATTTATACCATTTCTCCCAGACTAAGTAGTATTCTGTTTCATCTTTTTCTTGTATCTCCTTTGTGACCTTATCCATTTCCACACACTCCATAATTTTTCTAATCACCTTGTCTTCTGATGGTATGTCATTGTTTTTCCAGTTTTGGGCGAAAACTATTAGTGCTGCTGTAATTATGTGAATAATTAAGTTTTGGGGGTTTTTTTGTTTTTCATATGACCCGGTAATTATTCCCAGTAAGAAAGTTTCTGGCCTCATTTCTATTTGTTGATTTATAATTTCTTCTATTTGTGTTTTAATTGTTTGCCAAAATTGTTTAAAAATTTAGGGAGTGAATGTAACTAAATAAGGAATAAATATATAAACTGTTTCAACTGCTACCCCCAAAATGACGCTATAGAGCACTGCACAACTAGACACAAGAACAGTTTTTCCCCGAACGCCATCACTCTGCTAAACGAATTCCCTCAACACTATCAAACTAGTTACTAAGTCTGCATTACTATTAATATTCTCATCGTTCCTATCACCCATCTCCTCCCACTTATGGTTGTATGACTGTAATCTTGTTGCTGGTATCCTTAAGATTTATATTGACTGTTTCCCTATGACTACCATTAAGTGTTGTACTTTATGATTCTTGACAAATGTATCTTTTCTTTTATGTACACCGAGAGCGTATGCCCCAAGACAAATTCCTTGAGTATCCAATCACACTTGGCCAATGAAGAATTCTATTCTATTCTGTTCTCAAAAGTGTCACATTGTACAACCTGCATATTTTTTAGATCATCCCACTTCAGAATCAGACTGGATTCTGTGTAATGCTATACGTGTTGAGATCTAGGAAATTTCCTTTCCCAGACAGGAAAATAACCCAATAAGAAATATTTGGCAGCAAATGAAGTTATTCAGGCTAGAAATGTATACCTATTTAGCAACACAGACATCTCCTTGAACACAAGAAGAAGGACTTCTTCCTTCTGAAGAAGTTGAAGCAAAACTGTTTTGGCAAGGAATGAGCCGCTGTGTGGCAGCTATAAGAATGTTTTCAACCCTGGCTGAATATAACCTTCTACCTAAATAGTCAAAATGTTTTGACAACGTGACTGGTATTTTTAAGAGTTTCAATTGACCATATCAAGTGGGGTAGCTATGTCAAATACAAAACAATGAAATAGCTCTATTGTTTTCACTTGTTAAAATTAGCATTTTTTGAAATACCTACCCTTCCTGCCTACCTTTGTTAGCCATATAATCTCTACCTATTTTAAAAGATTCTGCTTGTTGGTTAGGCTTCCCACATTTCATGCCTGCTAAAGGTGATGATTCCCCTCCTCCCCCCCCCGAATATTTAGCCATCACGACTCAATTCACTCATTATGGAGCTTTTCATGGGATGGATAATGATGGCTAACTTCTATCCTAGTTAGTGTTTATCCTACAGTGGTTCCATTGCAGCATAGAAGCCAAATCACTCTATGAAAAATTCATGGCTGTTTTTTTTTTTTTATAAATTGCAATCTTTGACTGAGTCCAAAACGGCTGATAAGAGAAAAGTAGAAAACATGGTCTCCTACATGAGCAGGCGGTTGGACTAGATGACCTCCAAGGTCCCTTCCAACTCTGTTACTATTATTATTATCTTAGAAAAGGAATTCAAAAACATAGAAGGGAACACTAGCTCTCTTGCCTGAATGATGATTACTTAAGACTTCCATCCAGATAAACGTATTGTATTGATTCATATATATATATATATATTAAATTTGATTTATATGCCGCCCTTCTCCGAAGACTCAGGGCAGCTTACAATGTGCTCAGCAATATATGGAGCAGAGCAGTGGTGGATTGCCCCCAGTTCGCACCGGTTCTATAGAACCGGTAGTAAAACCGGCGGGAGGCTCCGCCCACCAACCCCAACGTCATCAAAATGCTTCTGCACACGTGCAGAAGCTTCTGCGCTTGCGCAGAAGAGCATGCATGTGCGTGAGCAAAGTGACTGCACGCACACGGCCCCGCTGCTAACCGGTAGTAAAGGAAAGTAGAACCCACCCCTGGAGCAGAGTATTTCAGAGAACTACTGTCCACTCTCAGATTTTGACACCCTAAGAAGTCAATAACTAACTTTGCTTACATTTTCCCCCAAAATTATATGTAAGTATACTTTCAGGGCCTAAGAATGCAGAGACGTATAGACCATCGGGTACTGGAAAATGAAAGCTTTAGAGCAGGGGTGTCAAACTCGATTTCATTGAGGGCTGCATCAGAGTTGTGTTTGACCTTGAGGGGGGTGGCCAGGGGGCATGGCTAGCTCGACATCACTCATGTCAAGGGCACCTGTGGTGCCCAAGTACAGGACTTCCCTCAGACCCTCCCTCCCACTCATTATAATCTCCTTCCTTCCTTCCTTCCTTCCTTCCTTCCTTCCTTCCTTCCTTCCTTCCTTCCTTTTCTTCTTTTTCCTTCCCTCTTCATTCTCCTTTCTTCTTCCTTCCCCTCTTTCCTTATTTTTCCTTCCTTGCTCTCTTCCCATCTTCCCATCTTTTTCTTTGTCTTTCCTCTTTCCCTTTCTCCTTTCTTGCATGCTCAAATGCAAAAGGGGAAACATTTCAGATTAACAGATTAACAGAGTTGGAAGGGATCTTATAAGTCATCTAGTCCAACCCCCCCCCTCAAGCAGGAGACCCTACACCATTTCTGACAAATGGCTGTCCAATCTTTTCTTGAAAGTCTCAAGTGATGAAGCTCCCACAACTTCCAAAGGCAAGTTGTTCCACTGTCAGAAAGTTCCTCCTCATTTCTAGGTTGAATCTCTCCTTGGTCAGTTTCCACCCATTATTCCTTGTCTGGCCTTCAGGTGCTTTGGAAAACAGCTTGACCCCCTCCTCTCTGTGGCAGCCCCTCAAGTATTGGAAGACGGCTATCATGACTCCCCTAGTCCTTCTCTTCACTAGACTAGCCATGCCCAGTTCCTGCAACCATTCTTTGTATGTTTTAAAATATGTTTTATTTCTCCTTTTGCTTTGTTTTTACTTTGTTTTGCTAGCCCTCTGCCAGCGAAAACGGAGTTTGGGGGTGCTCCTGCTTTAGTGCCATTGTGAAGTCACATCAGCGCTGAGTTCATTTTGCTGAGAGTATAACCCTTAAATAATGGCCTGTCAAAACATCTCCCTGTCTCCATAACTGAACGGTTTTATCCTCTCTGCAGGTCAGTCATGCAGCCACTGCCGAAATCCTTAGCGACAAAGTGCGTTTTCCTTCTTTTCTGCGCACCGTGCCCAGCGATTCCTATCAGACCAAAGCAATGGCACGATTAATCCACAAATCAGGATGGAACTGGATTGGAATCATCGCCACTGATGATGACTTTGGGCGGCTCGCTGTGGAAAGCTTTGGGTTACAGGCCATGGCCAACAACGTCTGCATTGCCTTTAAAGAAATGTTGCCAGCTTATCTCTCGGACAGCACGATCCATGGCAAAATTAATCAAGCACTTGAGAAGATTGTCAAGGAAACCAGGGTAAATGTCATCGTTGTCTTTCTGAGGCAATTCCACGTAATGAGACTTTTCAGAAAAGCAATAGAAAGGAACATAAATAAGACCTGGATTGCAAGCGATAACTGGTCAGCGGCTGTGAAGATTAGCACCCTTCCAAATATCAGTCGCCTGGGGAAAGTGGTTGGATTTACATTCAAAAGTGGCAACCTGTCCTCTTTCCATGAGTTTTTGAGCAATCTACCGACCACACCCAGGGGCAACAACACATTCTTAAGGGAATATACGATGCTAATGTCAACGTGCTCCCATATAAATGATCAAGATCTGAGTAAGTGCATTTCAAACCATTCGGCAGAGAGTTTGCTCCAAAATCAGACTCGCCCAACGAACAGCCTTTGGCGAGAGGAATTTCTCATTGCCAATATTGAACCAGGATTTATCCACAGCACCATGCTGGCCGTGCACGCCATTGCCAAGGCCATCCAGAAACAGTGCAAGGACAGAGACTGCAAAGATCCATACGCTTTCGCTCCTTGGGAGGTAGGGCTTGATCCTATTTTTCATGCTCTTTTAGCTCTGCTTTGCATCTCTTTCTTCCTTGCATATTAGTGCACAAATTTCTGTTATTTACTCAGGATGATGTAAGAATGATCTATCAGCAAGATTAAAACACCTCGAATGTAACATAAGGTTGTGTTACAATCCACATGTGGTGTTCTGGTTTCTTAGCAGTTGAAATTGTGTTCATTTCCTTGCCTGAGATCTTTGTTTCTCATGGTAGTTGGAGAAACCTTACATGACCTTACACATCATACAACAGCGTCCACTCTCACTGGGTTCGCAAACATGCCAAGCCACGTCTCGTTGAGTGAGCCATAAACAGCTGGATTTATAGTAGTACATGCTAAACTAAAACTAGACAAACCACATCATGACTTAGGATAATGTATGACTGAGCCCTGTGCTTTAACAGACAGCACATTTTTTATAATCAACAACAGGCGTATATATATATGCATATTAGAAGATTAAGATTCTCTTGTGTTTGTTTTCATTTTGTTTGGGGGTAAACAGATCTTATTCGAAACTGAGGAGCCACTTACAAGATCAGTTTCCACCATTAAAATTTAAATCCAATAAGAATGAGTTACTTGAAATGTAAGGGGGGAAGCTTCATCTTTGCTCCTAAATAAAAATACAAATAGACACCTTTACTAGTCCATATATCCCCCTTTTTTCCCACCAAAAGAGACCTATTGATTATTTTATAATTTCTGGGTGGGTCAGAAAGTAAGCCAGTCAAGATGTCATGAATGCATCCTGGCAAAAGGGATTTAGATCAAATCCCAATAGCAAACCCCCTTCCAAATTCTGAACCTCACATTTGAGTTAATTCTTTTGAAAGAAAAATCCTTACTTTTAAGAAGAACATTTTGCATTATGATCTATAGTAATTCGCTCCTATCTCAGCAACAATATATCATGCTGTTTCCAAGTGTCATTGGAGATGCTTGCTGCACTTTACCTTAAAAAAATCCTAAACAAAACATCATAGAAAGTAAGTTGACATTGGTTTTTCCCACAGATGAAAGAATAAAGAGATGAAAGAATAAAGAGATAATCTCAGTGAGAGATACCCTTGAGATTATAAAGAACTGGTGCTTAGCATATACTGAGGGCTCTTCATCCATTTCAATGCAGCCGGTTTTCATGCAAGTCCTTAGTTAGTCTGACTCCATGTTTACTTAGTTAATAGACAACCAACGCTGGCCTAATGCTTAACCATCTCTTAGCAAACTAACCTAACAATTTTCTAGAAAATGGCTTTCAAACAGGAAAAAGAGTATTGCTAGCTTCTTTCTCCAGTATCAGCCTGAGCAGAGATTTCTACTTCAGCTAATATTCTCTAACTTTGCCCTTTCACTCAAGATCAAATATAAATAAACCATTCCTGACTTAAAAGAAGAAGTTTTGCGCCTTTCAAGTACCCAAAATATAACTACCCGAAAATCATTTATCTTCCTCTAAGAGAGGCAAAAAACAGGTGTAGAGCTATAATAATCAATCAAATGGAATCCAATTGACATTTTTATCTAAATATCAGGGCTGGAATATTCTCTTCTGCATTTTTCTTTTTCCCTTATAGAGCAGAATCTATTTGTAAGACAAATAACAAAGTACCCTTCATGGCCCTTAACCTTCTTTTGATCTTGTAACTGAAGAAATATTTGTAAGTGTGTGTAACCCTGAATAATCCTCCTAGACAATCGATGCAAACTTCTGATAGACATATATATGAGTGTATCTGGATTAGTTGCACACATTCTACCAACCTATCCAAACTTTGATTATTTAGGATTGGGTCTTCTCTGTCACAGCACCTACCCTACGGATCAACATTCCCCCAGATCGGGGGGGGGGAATCCAGCAGGTTCTAACAGGTTCTGGAGAACCGGTAGCGGAAATTTTGAGTAGTTCGGAGAACTGGCAAATGCCACCTCTGGAATGGGGTGGGAATGTAGATTTTGCAATATCCTTCCCGTTCCATGCCCATCAAGCCACACCCAAAGAACTGGTAGGGAAAAATTTTGAATTTCACCCCTGCCCCAGATAGTTGTGATGACCCCCATCCTAAAAACCTGGTTCTTTTCCCAAGATTTGGGTTGCAGTTTGGGGTCAAAGAGTCAAAGTGGGGATATTGTAGGTGAGTGTTTTTATCAATTTTCTCAGAGCAAATGAATAGGGAGTTTCTATGATGGTTTTTCTTGCTCTCTAGTCTTCTGAATGCCCTCATTCTGTCATTTTGGAGTTGGGCAGTCTAGACTCTGTGTGTGTGTCTGCCTGCCTGCCTGTCTGCCTGCCTGTCTTTGTGTCTGTGTGTCCATGTGTTGAAGGGATTTTTTAAATCCAAGCCCACTGATACCTGCTTCTCACATAATGTGTTGAGCTTAACATTAATGCTGTTATCTTATCTTGTCAACTTATCTTGTTTTTTGGGTGGAGATACACTTCCAAAAGAGCTTTCCCACAATTACTGGACCTCAACTTTCTGTCAAGTATACATGAGTTTAAAATGGTTTTGTTGGTTTTTAGCAAAGACTCTTGTGGTCCTCCTTTAATTCAGTACTGCTTTTAAATCAATAATCTGGGGGCGGGGGTGTTTGTCCACCAATTTTTGTGAACTTCCAGAATTCTCAGAAATTGCAAAGGGGCATTTTGGAAGCTGAAGAACCCCCTTTTTTTTTGCTGAGACAAAGGATTTCCCAAATGAAAGTTATTCATTGTATTACAGTTTTTAATCATATTAACAAAATGGGATTTTCCTCATTTGGAGGTAATGTGATTGATCATCAAATGTTAGAATTTAAAGACAAATTGAAGTATGGCCATGAACTTTATACTCTGCTTGTGAACTTCCAACTTCCAATGCCAGAAAGGGCATTGTATGTTTAGAAGAGAAAATGCATAAAATATCAATAAAAATGGTCAGGAATTTAGATCATCCTCTTACCAGGAAAGTTTGTGGGGGACATGATAAGGGTTGAAACATCTATCAGTTTGGAAAAGGTAGATCAAAATATTTTTCTTCTGTCCTGAAAATACAATTTTGGAACTCTTCTGTGAAAGATGACAATTTCTTCAAGCTAAATGATAATTTCTAACAGTACAGTCTCATGCCCACGTATATTTATTCATATAGTGTGACTGTAGTATTATTTTTTATCCTTATTATTATCTTCTTTACACCCTCTTTATAGTTGTTGCTGTTGTGATGATGATGATGATAATGATGATGTTTTGCATGTATACAGAGTATTTCTGGAGACAAATTCTTGTGTGTTTAATCACACTTGGGCAAATAAAGCATTCAATTCAATTCAAAAATGAATTTTTTACACAAGTCACAATTATACCCTTCTAGAATTCTAAATAGTGATTGGCACAGGTTAGAGTGGCTTTTTTCCAGTTTGGACAAATGTACCAATAATATTTTATCAATAGTAGTAATTTGTTTGATTAATATTCTATCTTTCCTCCAAGAATTTGATGCAGCTTCTATGGGAAGCTCTTCTCAACAGAACAAGAATATTTGATGCTAAAAGTTTTTTTTTTTAATGGTAGTTTAGTGAAACTGCGCTTTCCCAATGTTTTTCTGAATGTCATGGGGGGGGGGGGGGAAATGACAAGAAAAATTGCTAGTATCGTGCACTATACAGGATTCCATCCTGGAGGGATCTGATTGGCTTTTGCTAGAAGCAGGGTTTGGGGGTGACCGGAAGTTTGGCTTGATTTAAAAAGGTAATGTGCATGTTGCTAGTTTTTGAATTTGCAACCTATGGGGAGAGTACTAGCATCAAACATATAAACACTTTCCTAAATCACCAAATGCTTTGTCATTCAGTGATTCATAGCTTTATCCCCACATCACTTTCCCTGAAAACATTGTATTTGAAATGATAGCAGTGATCGGTAATGAGCCATACCCTTCATATAAACATAACATAATTTGATATTGCAGACATCCAATAAAACAATTAAATACACACACAACAACCTTTCACTCAGTTTGGTGTGAAATCTAGGAACAAATGCAGCCAGTTTTATTAAAGCTGTCAAGACTGTATTCCTGTGTCCTGAACGGTTTCATTAAAAGCAAAACTCTATACAAATGGCATATCCATTTCCTAATATGTCCAAGTGATCAAATGAGAAGGATATGATGAGGTGTGAAGTGAGAAATTGAAGGACTGCATTTGAGTGATGAAACTAACATGAAGGGAACAGAATCAGTGGTGGGTTTAAACTTTCAAATTTTTTTACTACCGGTTCTGTGGGTGTGGCTTGGTGGGCGTGGCATGGCTTGGTGGGCATTGGAGGGTAAGGATACTGTAAAATCTCCATTCCCACCCCACTCCAGAGGAAGGTTACTGCAAAATCCCCATTTCTTCCTGATCAGATGGGACTTGGGAGGCAGAGAATAGATGGGGACGGGGCCAGTCAGAATTTTTACTACCGGTTCTCCGAACTACTCAAAACTTCTGCTACCAGTTCTCCAGAACTGGTAAGAACCTGCTGAAACCCACCTCTGCTGGTACCATAAGAAAGCATTGTATTTCTGAATCCCCTTCTATGTAAAAATTAAACTTATAGTAAGCTTAAAATCTAAGTTACTTGCAAATGTGAAATTATAAATTGAACGATGATATGCCAGCCTAGGCTTTTTGTCTGCTGTGCTGTTATTCTGTTTGTAGTGAGTTAAGGTCAACTTGCACAGTCTGAAAATGATGTCGTTTATCCCAGCTGAAGATTCAACCATCTCATTCAGTCAGGTTTAAGTTACTGTGGTAAAATGATGCAATTGTGAAATTCTCTCAGAAATGGGCAGCTGGCCAGACCAGGTCACAGGTGGACTTTTAAGCCTAGAGAACAACCTTGAGAATCATTTCAATTATATTTCTAATAAGGAAGGGGGGGGAGAGTTAATCATATGAGATTGGTATCAATGCAATACTTCAAATGCAATTCCAAAAAAGCTGCCACATACTCTGGGAGAAAGACGAAGCTACTTTAAAGAGTTACAGATAGGAATTACGTTCATGTCCAAAGCATTTTTCCTCAGGTGTTTCCAAAGTGCTGCAGAGAAGTAATTGCATGGACTGTGTTTAATATTTTGAGTTGTATGATTGATTCATATTACAACAAGTCTTCTTTTCTGAATTAGCTGACTTCTTCAGTGGTCCTTGGAATGCCACTCAAAGGTCAACTGTGGCCTTCAATTCAAGGAAGATAGTCCAGACCCTGTATTTCGTAGTATTACTACTGCTAAAAGTCATTGAAGACCAAATTGTCCTATGTCAAATACATCATTTGACTAACCGTGTACTTCTCAATTATAATTATGATGAATAAAAGCCAAGTTCTGCTTATTCCTGAAATGATAAATTCATTACAGGAAGCTATAATGAAGACTTCATAGCATTTGCAAAAGTTAATCACATTATTAACTTTCTATACCTTAGTAATATTGTTAATAGCTTATTTGTTTCCAAAGGAAATAAGATTAAGTTAATATTTTATTTTTATTTTAGCAAATAAAACAAATAATGTTATTTTAGAGATGAGCTCAAGCTGATAAACTGCCCTCTGAAAAAAAGTAACCAGAAAAAGATTTTTTCATTTTTATTTCATTCCATGATCCTTTCTTCACATTTTAATTGCCCACCTACTCCCCTTGCTTACATGGTTTCAATAAACATTTCTTTTTAATCTATAGTTAATACAATCCTGAAATATGCAATGCTATTAGTTGCTATTATCTGGTGTTTGCCTTCCTTAAGCAATATTGTTTTTTTTTTTTTATCATTCCTTGTTTTCATTACTGCAGTTGCTTGAAATACTTAAAGAGATAAAGTTCACTGATAACGAACGGGAGGTCTATTTTGACTCTCAAGGAGACATTATCACAGGATATGATGTCCTGCTCTGGAAGGAAATTGATGGAAGAGTGGTGATTACCAACATGGGAGAGTATGACCTGGAGAAAGATGACTTCATCTTTGCAGATAAAGAAGATGAAATTGAATTCATGAATCTAAAGGTATCTGAAGGCCTGTTGAAAAAACAATGGGACTGAAATACACATGGATGTATCTCTACAGGAGATTTGTATATACTTGGATCTATGCTTTAAGTTTGCTACTAAATGGGGAAAGAAAAATGCAGGAATTGTTGGATGAATGGATTATGCATCAGCCATATGGATCCCATCAAGACATTTAGAATATCAATCCATAAGCCTCATTTGGTAACAGCTATGGTAATATAAGTTGTACTTCAAAATATCTAGAATACTGTAGACTGATTATCCTTGCAAGTCAAAAAGCTGCTTTAAGGAGTTAAAGTAAGAGAAGTGTTTCATTGTCACTCCCAGACCCTCTGAAGCACCTTTTCACCTTCAAATGTGAGGGGCTATAGAGCCCTAAACTCCTGTCATTAAAACATAAAATAAATATTTGTTTTTCCCCATTGTCACCTCTAGTCAAACAGGTTTTTGAAACAGTTCTACAACTTGTTTGCCAGAGATATAAGTGGGATGAGAGTACCTTTATGCCTGTCTTTGAAATATTTCATATTGTTGTTTAAGTCTTACCACAAAAGTACTCCTTACCACAAAAGTATTGAAATTATAAATAATTATAATTATAAAATTACTAAAATTATAAATAATTATAATTATAAAATTACTAAAATTATAAATACTTTTATAATAATAACACATTAACACATTTTAATAAGGTAATTATTTGAAACAACAGCATAAAGAAATCAAACTAACAATTGTAGTAGGAACTCTAAATTGCAAAATAAAATTGGGCATTCATTATTTTAAGAAAACACATGTAGATTGTGATAATCCTTTTACAGATGTCTGAAGAAAGAGTAATATTTCCATTCCATGAGAAGATATTCTGTAATGATGACACTCTTTTTTTTTTGCTCAACAACTTAATAGATTGTATCTTCAGGCGCATGAATTAGGTTTATGTGGCTTAACAGAAGATCCAAGAGGTGCATGCACTTCTTCAAATATGATTCAGAAGGCATTTAGGGATTAAAAGATCAACACCAGAGCAGGAGCTAAATTCTAACTTTTCCTCAATCTTTTGAGTAATAGGTGTAATATATTTTTATTGCCTTTGCTCAGAAGAGCAACTGAGATACCCTAGTGACCTTGAAAAATAGAAAATTAAACAATGGTCTAATGTCAGGGCACAGATGAGAGCAAAGTTCTTTTCCAGAGAGGAATATAGCAGGTGAATCAATAAAAAGTGACACTAATAGTCTTCTGGTAAGTAATAGTGATACACCTAGAGAACTTTAGGTTGTACACATAGCCCTTTGAAGAGAATGCAATTCCTTTTAACACTGTTGTCGCAACTCCATTATGGGTCCTCACTTATATCTCTTATATACCTCTTATGGCCTCTGGGTCTCAGCTAGCCTTCTATAAATTCTCTCCAAAGACTTCCTGAAGATTTCCATTCCCTCACTAGAACTAATTGAAGGAAACTCCAAATAAAGCTATTGACATATTAGCCCAGCTGGCAAGATTTCTGGGGAATCCCAAAGACTGTCCATATTTAAGGGTGCCACAGCATCACTGTCCACTTAGGTCTGTTTAGAAAGGAATGGAGCTATTGTAACCTTATGCTACATCAGTTGGTCACCTGGAAGATATGATAGTTAACAGTACTGAAGGACATGAAGGCTGCAAGAAAAATAACAGGTGATGATGTCCCTATCAATTCTCTATTGATCTACTAGGGGCACCAAGGTTGCAGATTCACCACATTGCACCCACAGATACAAGGGATCAGTTTCATCTAAGACTTTATACCACATATAGCAGTCAGTCTTTTCACACGCCTCCATTCTCAGTTAATAAAAACCTGTGAGCAGGACCCAGATTAAATTAGTGGAATTTAAATTTAGATTCCAATTAAATAAGTAGTAGAAGCAAGTGGTATTAAAATGTGCTGGAAACCTTTTTTTGCCACTATAGCAGTGGGTTGTTCCTGGTTTTCACCAGTTCGGAAGAACCGGTAGTAAAAATTTTTAGTAGTTCGGAGAACCGGTAATAACATTGGCTGGCCACGCCCCCGAACCAGTTCCCGGCCCAGTTGCCGCTCGCTTACCCAGCCCACCTCATCAGAGGCTTTTTTTAAAAAAAAAACTTTTAAAAGCATTTTTTCTACAACCTCTTTGGCTGAAAAAATGCTTTTAAAAGTTAAAACTTTAAAAGTTTTTTTAAAAAGCCTCTGATGATCGCGTGGTTCAGCTGGGATCTCAGAAGCTTTTAAAAGCATTTTTTCTACAACCTCTTCAGCTGAAGAGGTTCTAGGGAAAAAATGCCTTTAAAAGCCTCTGGCTATCCCAGCTGACTTGCCTGATTGTCAGAGGCTTCTAAAAGCATTTTTTTCCGCAACCTCTTAAGGTTGTAGAAAAAATGCTTTTAAAAGTAAAAAAAAAAAAAGTTGGCCACGCCCACCCAGTCACATTACCCCTCCCATCAAGCTACGCCCACAAAATAAGCCACACCCACAGAACTGGTAGTAAAAAATTTTAGAACCCACCCCTGCACTACAGCATCTTCTCATTGACGGCATTTTATTGTAAAAAGTCTTACCTGGTGCATACATTGTTTCAGCTCCCAGATATTGGTCATTTCCACTCCTGGTCATTTAAACAAAAAAAATCCTCAAGTTTTTCACTCTTATTAATATCCAGCAATAGATTTTTTTTAAAAAAATAAAGAAAGAAAGAAAGAAAATACCACTACCATACTTTCTAAAATTTAAATTTGTTGATAATTGTAACTTTATTTTGTGCATTTATTCTTATAAATGTACTCTCTTTTTCTGCAAACAGCCCAGTGAACATAAAATGAACACAGTAAATACGCTATTAATAAATAAATAGTGTTTTTCATGCAGTAGTGCGTTCAGTGCTTTTCACTCACATGACTGCAGTGGGCCCATCAACAACCCTTTGGTCCCCTCAAGTGTTTTGCTCCAACCACCTTTATCTAATTGCTTAAGGTATTTTTACTTACAAAGAAATCAAATGGGAACTTGGCATGCTACAAAGTGCCAGTTTCGGACATAATCTTTCCTTACAGGACTGCCTCTAAACATCATAGAATTGTCATCCCAAAAAGTTTCATTGGTAGAAGGCAATTGCCCAGTGCTTTAATTAGAAATTCATTCATACCGTTATCATCCTAGAGGGAAAAAAGAAAGCTATACTGTAACAGATTGTCGAGAGTATTGTACGGTGCTAAAAGAACTTCACAGTTTCTCAAATTTGTCAATTGGTGCTTAGGGCTTGATGCGGCTCACTTCATGACATCAATTTAGAAAATTAGTTCCCTGCCGTAGCAATCACTTCATGAGGAGCATTCAGAACATATCTCTACATTCCAAATATGCTCACTGGTTTGAAAAGATTGTCAGATCCAACTCTGAACAATCATTGATGGTTTTCAGAGTAGCAAACAGGTGTCTATTATTTGAAGTACAGATAGTCCTAGACTTATGATCATAATGGAATTTTCATTGTAAGTCATTATGGTCATAAGTCAAGGTGCTCATGTGATTGGATCTGGTTTTATGATTTGTTTCAGTGCTTGTTAAAGTAAATACCACAGTCATTAAGTAAAAACTGCAGCCATTAAGCAAATGCTGGAAACTGGGCAAAAAGGCTGGAACCCAGCCAAAAAAACATAGTAAATTGTTGTTACATGACCATGGAATGCTGCCACCAGTAGTAAAGGTGAGCTGGATGCTAAATGCCCATGTCATGTCACCAGAAGTGTATGCAGCCATCAAAACTCCAGAAATGGGTCATAAGTAGCTTTTGTGTGAGTTCATTGCTAAGCAACCAGTCATAAATTGAGGACTATCTGTAAGAAAGTAGAAGAGAGCAAGGGAGAAGCTCCACAACATTCTTTGCAAGTCTATGGCAGTATGAAATTTCAGCATGGCCATTCAGTGGCATTGTCTGTCACTGTCACTATGTGCCATTGGATGGCACATAGGCAAGTTACTTCCATCACAATGTGTGGGCATCAGCCATAGCACTTGGACTTATATATAGCTTGATAGTGCTTTACAGCCCTCTCTAGGCAATTTACTGAGTCAGCATGTTGCCCCCAACAATCTGGGTCCTCATTTTACCAACCTTGGAAGGGTGGAAGGATGAGTCAACCTGGAGCCGGTAAGCATCGAACTCCTGGTAATGAGCTGAATTAGCCTGCAATACTGCATTCTAACCACTGTGCCACCAGGGCTCCTAAATATTTAGGATTGGCCAAGAATAATATACATTTCACAGAAATAATCCACCCTGGATTTGGATTATTTTCACTAAGGATCAGATTACAGAAAATGTTCCTGGTAAATTTACAATGAAGATGTGTTAGTTAATAATTTATTATCATTACTGCTTTTTTTCTTCTTCCTGGTGTTTTTGTTCTTGCAGAATGTCCAGTCCAAATGCTCTAGGAAATGCAGACCAGGACAAGTGAAGAAAGTTTCCGCAAGTCCACATACCTGCTGTTACGAGTGCATCAGCTGCCCTGAAAACTACTATACAAACCAGACAGGTGAGAAGCCTCAAGGTTAAATTTGTTGAAGGATGGAAGTATGGTGGTTTTTTTTTTAAAGAAACCCTCACAGAAAAACAATAATAGTTGGGTGTTCTTTTTGCTGGTGCTTTCAGAAAAGACTTTTTATTGCTCTGTCTCATTCACCTGCACCCCCACCTGTCGTGGGTTCAGACCAGTTCGCAAGAACCAGTAGTAAAACCGGCGGGAGGCTCTGCCCACTGACCCAGATGTCATCATAGGTGATCTGTGCATATGCAGAGCTTCTGCGCATGCACAGAAGAGGGTGCGGGGGAGCACAATGCGAACTGGTAGTAAAGGTATGTAGAACCCACCCCTGACCCCCACACAACACAAATTAGCAGAAAAATATGAAACAGCTGTAGAAAACCATCTGATTGGTAGTGTTGGGGACCTCTCTATAGAAATTGTGGAACTGGGAATATATTTTAAGGGGAATATTATTATAAGGACATCTAGTAATACAGAAGGGAGTGTGTATGTCATCTCCTGAAACAAAGGATCTGTTGATATAGATAAAAATTTCACGGGGAGAGCCTTGAAAAATACAGCCGGGCGGTTGGGCTGCATATTTAACTTCTGTTTATGGACTTCTTTTATGTGACTGTGGTAAACATGAGTAGGGATCCCTCTGTATCTGTCACTGAGAACTGGAAGTGGGGGAAAATCTCTTTCTCCCTTCTCCCTTCGCATCACATTTGTGTCAGAAGCACCAAGGCACTTCCAGGTTGAAAGGATTAGACAGTGACATCACTGTTGCCTGGGGAATACCTAGTTGGGGACTCTTTTCATGTTCCCGGCAGCAAGGACAGGAGCTCACCCTGTCACACAGCAGCACTTGGGTCTCAAATGTGGGCTTGCTAACCTCCAACCCAGCATCCTAATCACGCGAGCCCCCATGATCCTTCCTTTTCCATTAGATATGGCAGACATGAGACTCTGAAGGATGGGGTGTGGAGAGGTATGATATTCAGTATATGTCATGGCATCCTACAAATGGTCAGTTGTCAGGATGCAAGTATGTTTTAGCAGCATTCGAAGATACTATCACTGAGTGGATACCTTCATTTTAATAACATTGTAATTTACTGCAGATGGCACTGATTGTTGATTTGAAATGGCTTAGAAAGCTATTCTAATATCCTTCTCAGAATGTTTTTTCCATTCTTATTCCCTAAACTTGTGCCTAGACTTTTGTTAGACCAAATATCTCTCAAATTATAAACAAAAATAATTCATTCGAGTGAACCAAGTTGATGCATTTCTAAACTTTCAACAACTTAAGGGAAATGATAGGTGATACTTTTGTTTTTCTATGCGTAGATATGGATTACTGCATTTTGTGCAACAACAGAACCCACTGGGCTCCGGTGAACAGTTCAACCTGCTACAGGAAGATGGTTCAATACCTCAACTGGAATGACTGGTTTGCTGTTTTGTTAGTGGTGCTCTCTGCCCTTGGAATTGTGTTGATTTGTGCCATTTTCATAATATTTACTCGAAATGTGGACACTCCTGTCGTAAAGGCATCAGGTGGCCTAACTGTATGCTACGTTATACTACTCTGTCACTTCCTGGCTTTTGTTAGCACAAGTTTATTCATTGGCCAGCCCAAAGCATATAAATGCAAACTAAGACAAGCTCTCTTTGGCATTAGCTTTGCCCTCTGCATTTCATGTATTTTGATTAAGTCCCTGAAAATCTTGCTGGCTTTCAGTTTCGATCCCAAGTTACAAAAATGGCTGAAGGGCCTCTACAGACCCATTCCCATTGTGTCTTTTTGCACGGGGATTCAGATCTTGATTTGTTCGGTCTGGATCACTGTGAGAAGCCCTTTCGTGCAAGAGAACAACTCCATCCGGAGAGTTATCATCCTGGAATGCAATGAAGGTTCAGGGGTGGCCCTCGGCATCATGTTAGGATACATTGCCCTCCTCGCATTCATCTGCTTTATCTGTGCTTTTAAAGGCAGGAAGCTCCCCGAAAACTACAACGAGGCAAAATTCATTACCTTTGGCATGCTCATCTATTTCATTGCATGGATTATATTCATCCCTGTCTACACAACCACTTTCGGCAAGTACTTGCCCGCAGTTGAAATCATTGTCATTTTAATATCTAACTACGGGATCTTGTGCTGTACATTCTTCCCCAAGTGCTACATCATCCTGTATAAGCAAGAAGCGAATACTAAATCCGCCTTCCTTAAAATGCTGTACAATTACTCTTCCAAGAGTGCAGGGAGTATCAGTGTCAATCAAAGTTCTCTGGACTCTAAGAGCGGGACCCCTCCAGTTCCAAGCACAAATGCTTGTTGTAAAGTTAAGGGTGAGAAAAGCTGGCTGAATGGTAGTTGCCATTTGCAGGCATCAGGGCCCAGAGAAGTGAGAGGGGAAGTCCACATCAAAAACACAGCGGGGCCCACAATACCAAGGAGAAGGCTCTCTAGCATATGAAGGGAGATTGGAAGTGTGGGGGGGAGGGGGAGAGGGGAGGTGTTCTGGAAATATCATTTCACGATAAGGTCATTTGATTAACCCTTAAGTACCTATCAACACACAAGAGATGCAGGTTTCTGCAGACATGATGTTGACTTCCTATGATTGTTTCTTCTCCCGTTTGCCTAATTGTGATTCCTAGCTTACCAAGGATTTGAAATCAGAGGTCAAAAGCTCAGCCTGAGGTAGAATTGTAATCCTGGACTAAGGGAAAAAACTAGTTAGCCTCCATTAGACCAGTGGTAGCTAACATGTTTTCTTTCCTTTTCCTGTGGAGGGCTATTGTGACCTGAAGGCCAGGGTGAAGCAAGTGGGAGAGACAGACAATGCCAAAGGAGAGTGGGAATCCCATGATTTTGCCTTCTGGCCTCCCTTTGCTTCCTGGGTTTTCCTTTGGTCTCTCTTGCTCTTTTTATGAATTTCTTTTTTCTTTCTCTCTCTCTTCCCTTTTGCTAAATGTAGGGTAAATCACTTTGGCCCAGGGTCCAAATCACTTGCGAAGGCCTTTTAAAATTAGGATGGAAGCTGCATTCAATAAGGCTGATGTCTGTTTATGGTCTGGTAGCCATGGTTGTTCATCCTTGTACTTGATCATGGTTAAGAGAAAGAGTCCTTGGGTCCACACATTTTATTAAGGACAATATGTGATTTCAGCCATTGTAATTGTGGCTTAATGTGGTGTGTATACCAGCTATTGTAGTCTGCAAACCATGGTTTATGGCATAGCAGAATGTGAAACATGCATTTACCTGTTGTAAATAAGACTATTTTCATTTTTAAAAAAGGTACATAAAAACTATTTAAACAACATGTAAATGGTACTTCAACAAACCACAATGAGTCCAACCTCAGGTTTGTGTGACACATAAACCAGATTAATGAAAGAGAAGAGGAATTTATGTTGGAGCAGAGGAAGAAATCATATAGCCGGCTTTTGTTTTATGAAATGATTATATTCAACATATAATGAAGTTGGAAATGGAATCCTAACAGCAGCCAATTTTGACTCAGGTGCACCAGTGATTACAAAGTATGATGATATGATAGCCATGATATGATAGTTTTGCTGCTGCCTTGATGTTTGCTTGGACCTTCCTATAGCATTGAGCAGAACGTCAGCAATGACTCCATCCTTAGGGGTATCGGCAAATAAAAATGTTATCAAAGTGATGAGGTGGACATCATAACGTCATAATGTAAGTCCACTCGTTATGTACTTGCACATGAAATTATGCTGCAAGCGCAAAAGAGTAAAATGTTTTCGTAATGTTACAGAGCATGTTTCTTCAATGCACTCTCCTTGCCCTCTACTCCCCCATGCACATTATGGAGTTAAGTCAAATATTTCATGAATTCAAGTAAGCTTAGATCTCCTTTGGATTGAGAGTGCTGAAGATAAAGACTATGTCTAAGCAAGAAAGAGATCTCTTGAATTCTGAAATGAGCAGAGAAATGATGTGTTCTCACCCTTGCATACAAATAAACAAGGCTGCTTTTAAAGTTGTAATGGGACTGTGTTTCAAGCACAAGCTTAAAGGATTTCTTTCCAAAGATCTGAACAAATTGCACCATAAGCAATATTGTTTTCTGCTTCTTTCCACTGTGCTGTACTCTCAGAGTTGCATCGATATTATTCCTCAATTTTCATTGTTGTGCATAAAAATCAGGAGGACTCAGGAGGTATTGAATTTATCTTTCATGCAATTAAAACAGGCAATTATTGCTGATCTAATCCATAATATGTCATTCCGTAATATAAGAAGTGATTGGAAAGTAGCTGCAGCTAACACATATTAAAATACTTAGGCTATTTCCTTGTCAAATTTATATTAACATAGCTGGAATTGTGTATTAACAGATGGATATCTCCTTTAGCAGTAGCCCTAATATATCTAAAAATAGGGTGAACTAATGACCTCACTAATGAAACAAAGAAGGGTATTTATCATGGCTTTTTCAGATGCCAGATTTACACCCACTAGTCTTGGTGTAAAACCACACATCTCTTTTTTGTCAAGAATACACATATACACACACACGGATTAAGATTTATAAAATAATTCACATAACTTCTGTTGAGAAGTTACTTTGTGATATTATGGATGGAGCTCAAAGGGATTTACTTTTGGAAAGGATTACACTGTGAATATCTGTGGGCATATTCTTTTCACCTTTGAAAAGGTCTTTCTCCCTCTCCCTCTCCCTCTCCCTCCCTCCCTCTCTCTCTCTCTCCATATTTGTATGGTACATATACATGGGTATGTTTGTATTTATCTCTACATACAGGTACATACACAGAAACATTTGAATGTACATGCTTGTAAATATTTGTAAATGCTGTTATCAATACTTCACAAGTCTTCAGTGTTAAATATTTGCTGTTGAAAGTTAACCTGCCTGAAATCTGAACGTGGTTTCAGAACAGAGCCTCACATTTAATAAAATGGCTATTCTTTCATCAATGTTGGAATGGATATTTTTGTGAACAGAAACTTCTCGTTGTAAAAGAAAGAGTATAATTACACGCCCCTTAAAGATTTGAATTTATCTTCTTTTGGAATACTTTACTCTGGAGAGGAGAGGATGAAAAATAGATTAAATTGGAAATTTCTGCAGAGCAACTCGGTGGTGAAGAGTTCTATAGGCATCTCTTTACAAGCAAGATGTTTGAAAGATCAAGAAATTTGATTGAGCCATATAAGGGGACAGCATAGGATCAATAAAGAGCTGTATGTAAAATGTTTGTGCAGATTCATTACTGTTTGGGGTACTTCTCTTATTGCCACACTCCCTGACGGATTTGTTTCCAAATGGCCTCCCCACTATAGCCACTTCAGTGGATGGACCCACACCCCAATAACTGTCCTAGCTCCCATACAAACTTGCAGCAGCCAATACAAGTGCAACCTGAACCCGCTACTAGCAATAGTTCTCTTTTAATGTGTCAAGATTTAATATCAAGCGCCTTTTTAACAGGAATTTTATTAATGTCTTCAGATGTAAGAAACAGTGCCATCTGGTTTGCAAAACCAAAACACGACTCCCTCTTTACAACCCAAAAGTGAAGGACTGTAGCAGAAAAGAACTGCAAGATTTATTGAACACTGCCCTCTAATGGACAAAGCACAAATTGCTGCTATATTGGAGGTGGGAAAAAGTTTTATTTCTCTGTTGCCGCTTGTCTTTTATGCTATAGATACAGTGGTGGGATTCAGCCAGTTCGCACCACTTTGGGAGAACCGGTTGTTAACTTTCTGAGCAGTTTGGCAAGAAAGTTGTTGGAAGAAATCATTAGGGCAGAGAACCGGTTGTTAAATTACTTGAATGCCACCACTGTAAGATATCTGTCATGATAATATCCTACTGTATTTCAGCCTCAGCTCTTTTCTAATACTTCTTTGAGGCAGCAGCTTCAGTGAAAAGTAAAAATCTTGCCTACTGTCCCATCTACATCCCTAGGAGAGTTAGTTAAGACTTAGCGTATATTGGCCAGCCATCTTATGCAACACAACTCTTGACGGCTCACAATAATATTGGACATCCATTGCTTGTAAGAAACAGCAACTATTGGATGAAGTTGCATATATAACTGCACATTTATCTACTCTTATATAGTAACTATCCCATGACTCAGTCTGGTGTCAACAACCTCAGTGTTACAGGTTGTTGGATTTGAGATTTGGAAGACCCTGATAAACCCTCTGGATTATATACCCCTTTGGGCTTCTCTTCGAAGTTTGCTGCCTTTATTCCTTAGATCAAAGAACCATCCAAGATGGGTCTCAAATTATGAGGTTGTTCTTGACCCACAAATAATATTACCTTATCTTGCGAGTAGATATGGTTCATTATGCCCCTACTTCCAAACAATATCTGGAAAACACATCAGGCAACACTAAGGCGATGCAAAGCATACTGTACATTAAACCTTAAATAATGGGGGGAGGGGGGGAGGAAATCAAATAGGGCAGAATTGAAAGTTAGTTGCAGAGAACGGACTGCTTTCCATAGTTCTATGCCTAGGAAAATCCCAGCATTTCACCCCAGGCAATAAAAAAAATCTGTGGTGGGGACAGATCAGGCAATGTTATTTACTCGCATAGCCTTTCTAGGAAAGAATCTGAGTCCAACATAGGTTGTAGGGCTTTTACAAGGTTAAAAGAAATACCCTTGCTCCTATCTTACACTTTAGAAAGCACAGATAACTAGAATAAAATCATAGGGCTGGAAGGGGCCTTGGAGTCTAGTCCAATCCCCTGCCCATGGCAGATTTTGTATTTTATATACCATATAATCAGTGGTGGGATTCAAGTAATTTAACAACCGGTTCTTTGTCCTAATGTCTTCCAACAACCAGTTTGTCAAACTGCTCAGAACGTTAACAACCGGTTCTCCTGAAGTAGTGCAAACTGGCTGAATCCACCACTGCATATAATTATATTATATATAATTATGGAATCACTGAAGCAGTTGGTGTGAGCTTAAATGGACTCCGAGGGATGGTAGAGGACAGGAAGACCTGGAGGAACGTTTTGCGACTAACAACAAATGTAATTATGTATCTTTTAGAGAGGGATGGATGGAAGGAGAGACAGACAGACAGAGATAAAGATTTGCCACCTGGTGTCCAATCTGATTTGGAAAGTTTGGCATGGCCAACCACAAGCCTGCTTCTAAGGCAGTTTCTAAGGCACAGGAAGACATGGGTTGGAAAACTCTGCAGTAAGAAATTGTTTTCTCATGTGTCAGCAATTAAATTCTACTGAGATCAACGGTTCTCATAAAAGGTTGCACAGGAATCTGAATCTGCCAGCCAAAATAAATATACGCCATGTGTATCATGTAAAATACATTTATTAATTTTGCATTGTAGTGTTGAGTAGTAACATTCCCTAATATTGCATACTGTTGATATTTGCAGATTGAGTCTGTAGTTTGTCAAAGATGCAATAAATTACAGATGATCATTCGAAACACAATAAAAAATGTGGTGTTTTTATAGATCTCAATTCTTTTAGCCGTTTCATAATACACATTTTCTAAATACATTTTTAGTTAATTAATATAACAAAATGTAAATAAGGCGTCAGCAAATAAATCCAACTGAGATAATAAGTAATTGTAGTTTGCTTTTAAGACCATAATCCATCTATTTTCTAAATGTAAACCTGCTTGAGTAAAATACATTATATTTTGTATCTGAAATACATACTTGGCATAGTTGCATAGTTTAAAGTCTTGTCAAATTCAGGCCATTACATGAGAATGTGTCAATTTGAATTAGGAAGGAATTCTTAAATCTGAAGTATTTTTTAAATTGTTCAAAGATGTTCTATTTAGGACTGTTTTTTTCTCTAATCCTACACATCCTGCAGATGCTGTTGATATCAAGTCTATTAAAGGGCCAATTCCTGAAATGTTTCTAAATCATGCAACATTTTAAAATCTCATTTGTAATAGAATTTGACCCAATACTAATACTTAAGCAATCAAAATTAAGGTCAAAATTATGTCTTCAGCAATATACAGAAATTACCATACTCATGATTTATACGATGAAATTATCCTTTCAAAACAGTTGTGTTAATTTACATTTGAGATTTATGTTTTTTTCTAAATCATATGTAATCTTAGATTTTTGTTCAGATAAAAATGCTTTGATGAGCGCATTTATTTATTCATTCGGAAATTAAGAGCAGGCACAACTGGTAATTTGTGTAATGCAAACAAACAAACAAACAATGGTTATACCCTGTCATCACCCTTTTTTTTTAACATTCTAGAGTAATTCCGATAAAATTCAGTTTTCAATTGGCAAATTTAAACTGTACTTGGAATGAATGATACAAATATAAAACGTTCCCTAATACTCAAATCCCATTATCCCATTATCCACTAATAGATATAGGAAGTCTAGCTGCAGATTTCAAGTAGACTTCTTATATCTTGCACTGGACTTCCAGCAAGTTTCCAAATGAGGTGGCTTCCTCAGTTATGATCCTCTATTCATACATATCTATTTTTAACTAATAAGCTTATATTTTCCAAGGCAAGCAGCACTTCCACAATTCTTCGAGAGTAAATATAGTTGTTATACTGCCTTTGTGAAGGCTATGGGTCATGTTGCAGTGAATCTTGTACGTAGTAGAAGTATGTATGTCAGCTACTACAATGGAAATACAGAACAAGTTCCACAGGCCATGACAGTAGAGTTAATACAGGAAGCAGCTATATTGAACACTTTAGCCATTTATTCCTGACCCAGATTAAAACTACTAAGTAATCAAACAGCTTCATTCCGAAAATCCTAATATTGATCTAGCACTGAAACAAAGGGGTGTCTATAACAATGACATAAGATGCATGGCACAATGGCCAATTATGACTTATTTTCCTTGGCAGATCATTCTTGGAAAACTTGAATATATGACAAAAAGAGCAGTGTTTTAACTCAAATACATGTTCGTGAATGAACATGTATTTCATTGAATGCAAACTCCTTTTTGAAAATTTGAGTACATGAATTTGAAATTTACACAGTATTTTAAAAAGGCAATCGCTTGTAGGTATTATACATCACTTTTTAAAAAGTATTATACAGATCAAGATATTTCTGATAAGCAAAATTATCAGAGTACTTGAACTGGGCTATAGTTCTCCCAATTCATATAAGATTCATACCCTAAAACAAATGGTCTCAAGTGTTCATTCTAGTGTAAAATAAAATTAACCAGTATTATATAAACTTATTTTACATATGTTGTCACAAATAATAGTATATTCAAGTGCTTTCCTTCAATTAATTGGAAAATGGTTTTTCCCAGTGCTACTGTTGATCTGTTAGAAAATATACTTTTGGTGATCTGTTTTCAATAAGTTAGAAAAATTGCCAAACATTTAAAAAAGGGGTTTTATAATGCATTCATATATTTGGTCAAACACAATACACTGTGTAAATAAATAATCTAACTTTGTTCTTTAAAAGGGTATGTTGCAGCCTCACACATTTTAGTAGCTTTTAAGTTAAACATGGATATTGCAGTTCAGAATTCCTAGTATGCAACTATAGAAATTCCCTTACAATAATCATTACAATATAAACATACTTTTCTAATTGAGAAGTTCATAGTAGGTAGGAAAAAAAAGCTCCAGCAATTTAATGGACAAATATCAGCAGATAAAGCTTTCCACATCATGTCATCAACCTGTCATTAATAAAATCAGCTGTAATAGTTAGTTCAAGCACTGGCAACTTTTGCAATTCCACAGAAATTAAAAGGATGAAGGAACTTCCTTTACATAACTAGGAACAAGTCCGGATGAACTACAAATTGAAACCGGCTACCTCTTTTCAAACAGCAGAAATACTGTACTTTTGACATAAGGCTTAATGTTATGGTATGTAACCAGCAACGTGCTCCTAGAAGTGTTGTTTTTAAATATATTTCACCAGTTTGTCTCAAAGTGTCACACACAAAACTATATTTTCACTATTTAAATAAATAATTTTCACATTCTAAATTTAACATTTACTAGGAGCTCATGTCTGTAGTTCTGAAACATCTTTTTTGCTCCAAGGAATAGAGGTAGATTTTAGTGTAGCTTGGGCGTATAAACCACACTGCCAAAATCCAAAATATCACAGCTGTTTATGGATAATGGTGCAATTTTAGCCACTGCTTGAAAACTCAGAATCTGCTGTCTGCTCTGAGGTGAGAATTCAAGCTATGCAATATTATTTTTTTAACTTGTGAATGGTTGGTATTTCTAGGAACGAGACAATGGCAACACACAATAGGAGAAAAAATAAGCACATGTTGAGTTCATGAGTTGCTCCTTTATCTTCTTCAGCAAAACGTTCCCCCTCAGGGCAGCAAATGAAGGCTACCACAAAAGCACTCCTGTCCTCTGAGCCAAGGGTTACAGCTGGAACCCCTCCATGGGGGCTTCCTGTTGCTGGAACACAAATTGTTGCTCGCTTTCATCCACTTGGGGCACAATGTTTGCATCTTCCTCTTCCACACCAAAATAATGTTCAATGAGATCAAAAGCCTTTTGGTAGATTTCTTGGTTTTCATGACTTTGAAGGATTTCAATTTTATCCAGTCCTGGAATTGAGAGAGAGAGATTGAGATTGAGATTGAGATTGAGATTGAGATTGAGATTGAGATTGAGAGAGAGAGAGAGAGAGAGAGAGAGAGAGAGAGAGAGAAGTAAGATCTATACTGCTCAATATATAGTCAAGCACTGCTCAGTAATAAACAGCTCTTAATTCCATAAACAGGTAAAATAAAGACATTTCTTAACAACTCTCAGAATAGCAAGCAAGAGACTTATATATTGTTACTTAACAGTATATTTTATGTTTATTAGGAATCATTTGCCTAAATAGAAGTCTACAGCTCTGCATTGCAGAGTTGACAATTTTTCAATAGAAATGTTGAAAATATTTGCTGTGGCATTAAGTTATCACTTCTTACCATAGGCTTCCTCTATACGGGCACAGTAAGGATTCACTCCAATTCCATTTTGCTTTGATTCCTGTTCTCCATGTCGCAATATGTTTTCAAGTCCATTCAAGGCTACCTGGACTATTTTAGAGTCCATCACAGTCAGAAGATCACATAGAGGTTTGGTACAACCTAATGCCACTAAGTAACTTTTATATAGAAAGGGGGGAAAGAAGAGGATGGAAAATAACTAATCAGGTTTTTCTTTTGTTGAGTGTAATAAGCTATATATAGGATGCTTTCAATAAACAATATTAAAAATATAATTTTGAAAACATTATGCTATTAAAAGAAACACACTCCTTATATGACTACATATAATTTTATCCCAAACACCAACAATGCATTTTTTAAAAAACTGAATGATCTGAAATTTGATCTATGAGCAAACTTTCATTTCCAACATGTTATATAATTTCTACTCATATGAAAACGTTAACACTTTAACACTGTTCCAAGTGAATTAACATATTATCAAGCATGTAAAGGTGGGAAATTAAACAAAAGGTTTACCGTAATATTTTTTTCTGAAAATATATGTTTTACCAAACTATTGTTCATGAAAACACTGGAGGAGAAAAATAGCATTTGCCTACCCAAAGACAAGATATCTTTTCTTTGTGACTACTTGCATATACAGATTTGATTCACACATTCTCTAAAATGTGAGTGTGGTGGTAAAATTTGGTTTTGGCTTCATAAGATGCACTATGGTTTATAAACCATGGCATTTGAGATAACTACATATCGGCCAGGTATCTATTCCAGGTTTAAATGAACAATGACTTAGAAAATGTGTAAATCTAGCCAATCAGGGATTGTGTATTGCCATATTTTTCAGAGTATAAGACGCACTTCCCCCCACCTCCTAAAAGAGTGAAAATTTGGGTGTGTCTTATACAATGAATGTAGCCCCGCCCACCTCCACCCTTTGGCCTCTGCCTCCCAGCAATTTACCTCCTTGCAGCAAACAGCCCATTTCAGCTTCAGCACAGCCTGATTAGCACAAGCAGCTGATTGTCGGTTGGATCGGCCTCCAGACCCTCAGCTGTTTCAGGCTGCAGGAATTGCCATTGCTGTGTGGGCTTCCGCTGTTTGCTGCAAGGAGGCAAATTGCTGGGAGGCAGATTTTTTTTCTTGTGCTAATCAGGTTGTGCTGAAAATGAAAATGAAACTAAAGCAGGCTGTTTTCTGCAAGGAGGCAATTTTTTCCCCCTCCCCAAACAAGTTAGATGCGTCTTATAGTCCAGAGTGTCTTATACACCGAAAAATACGGTATTTAAATTGCACTGTTATACAGCAGAACTCCCAAGAAACAACAGGAGTAATTTGTGAAGTCCTCTGTTCTGTAATTGTGGAAACAAGACAGACCTTCATGGTATGGATAGCATCAAAAATATTCTCCCTAGGATGTCCTCAGGCCAGTAGTTGCCTCACTGTTTTCAGACATATATTGAAAATGTTTTTAATATCAGTAAATCAAGGAACATGCAGTTTTGGCAAGTTTGAGTATTGGATGTTTCATTCAATTTCATGGCAGTGCATTCTTAACATGCTGCTACTTTTTATTATTTTATTTTGATTACTTTTTATGTCAATTATTTATATTTTACATCATTTCTTATTTTGGTTTTTTAAACTTATTATTTTTATACTATAATTATGTTACAAGCTACTTGGAGGTATTTAGAATAAAGAAATATCAGTATATAATACAGGTAGTCCTCGACTTACAACAGTTTGTTTAGTGACCGAATTTACAATGGCACTGGAAAAAAATGACTCGTGACCATTTTTCAAACTTATGCGTTGCAGCATCCCCGTGGTCATGTGATTTACATTCAGATGCTGACTCACATTTATGACGGTTGCAGTGTCCTGGAGTCACATGATCCTCTTTTTGTGACCTTCTGACAAGCAAAGTTAAGGGGGAAGCCAGATTCACTTAACAACTGTTTTATTAATTTAATAAGTGCAGTGATTCTCTTAACAAATGTGGCAAGAAAAGTCATAAAATGAGGCAAAACTCATTTAACAAATTTCTCACTTAGCAACATAAATTTACATAAAATTGTAGATTTACAATTGTGATTGTAAGTTGAGGACTCCCTGTATGTGCGTATGTATTTGTGCGTGCGCGCATACGCACACACGCATACACACAATACAGAAAAGGTATTCAAAGTATACTATGATTCCCTCATGCAGCTTTTCATAAGCTGGTGCCCTCAAGATTGACTCCAGAATTCTTAGTCATTACAGTGTTGGGTGCTGAGAGTGAGGAGCGGTGGCATACAAGTTTAACAAACTACTATTATCATTTGCATTTGTATGCAATAGTCCTAACTATCTGAGAGCATAAGGTTGAGAAATGTTGCCTTACTAAATGAAAAAGTTTCTTTCAACTACCAGCATTGCTGCGAATCAACTGCATTCTATTACCTAATCTGTTGAGGAGTCCCTCCTGATGTTGCATTAGTAATGGCCCATGCTGCTTCCTTTATAGTACGAAATTCAGCTTTCTGAAGAATTTCAATCAATACTGGAAATATATTTGCATCTATAACAGCCTAAAGGAAAAAAAATATAATACTATAATAACTCTGAAATTCTTTAAGTCAACAGACTAACCCAATACTGAACTTACAATAAACTCTCAATTCCGCAGACACTCATTCAATGGATTCTGGATGTACCAGGAAAAAAAATGGACTTGATCATCAAATAACAAAAATATTATTGCAAAAATGCCTGAATTTATATCATCTATATAGCAACACATACAAATAATGTAAATTGATACAATTACTTCAATTATATAAAGAAAATAAAACAAAAAAAAAAAAACAATAAAAAAAAGAAATCTGCAGTAATTATACAAGCAATATACATATGGGTTTAATGGACATTTAAATGCATGGATATGAGGTTGTATTGAATGCGTAACCTCCAGATAAAGCTGCCCATCCCTTCCCACCTATCCAGCACTATTCACTGAGTACTGAAAAGATTAAACAAAAGTAAGTGAGGTTGAGGAACAGAACAAGACAAAAAAATGTTAAGGGTAAAAATAATTACGCATAACAAAGGCAACTGAATACATTACCTGAATTTGTGCTCTGTTTCCTGCAGTGATGTTAGATACTGTCCAGCATGCTTCTTTTCGAATAGATTCCTTGGGACTACTCAGCAAATGTAAGAGACAGGGTAATGCAGAGCAATTTAGAATTACCTAAAATAATTTGAAAGATGAAAAGTTCTGCCTAAACAATGTAAAATAAAGTGCATTGCATATAACTGATATAACAGTATTTACATGTTGAGTTACTATTTCAGCGAATAGCGTAAGCATAGAGAAAAGCCATGTTATGCTTTCTGAAAAATCTGTTCTAGGTCCCAATAAAAACTAAGCGTGAAGGTGCACAGATGGAACACAAAAGGAAAAAAAGAAAAAGAAAAGGTACATACCGTAATAAACAAAATAGTACCTTGGCACTCAACAGCTTTGAAACTCACTGAATTTGGTACTCAATGCATTTTCATATGAATATTTTGTCCCAGTATTAACCATTACTTTGGTACTCAACGCACAAACTAGAACTTGTCAGTATCGGCTGCCTTGCAAGTCACTACATTATTCCTTATGGGAAAAATCTGTTTAGTACTCATCGTTTTTTGTACTCATTGTGCCTCCCGGAACTAATTAACTATGAGTACCAAAGATACTATCTACATTCAAAAAGCAGTCCTGCAGTGCAAGGAATTATTGCACACCACTATAGGCGATAACTCCTACAGTTACTTTTATGCTTCACATTTTGCAAGTCTACTACCACTCTGAGATACAATACTTCAACAGACAAAAAGGCAAACAAACAAAGCAAATCTAAACAAGGGATCTTTCCAAACAGTTGTATCTCATTCCCCAAAGTCATAGATCTCTTTTGTGGATATCTCCACAGTCTTCGTTGTTCAGAAGATTTTTTGTACAAATTGAAATACAACATCTCTTAACAGTTGTCTTCTGATCGAAAATAGTAAGTTTATTACACATAGTGTCCATCAGTTTTCTTAAGAAAGTCCAATCCACATTCTTCCTCCATATATTCAGTCCTCATCCATTCTCTCTATAAGACCAAGCTATCTCAACTTATTTCTTTCAAACTGATCTTCATCGTATCCGTTCATTGGCTCTCCTTTAGTTTCAAAGTCAGCAAAGCAGGGAAGTATTATTTCACTGTAAACATCTCCGTTATTTGAAAGACTTGCTCATTTCAAAACAGAGCTTTCAGACAGAAAAATATTCCTCTTCCATAATATACAAACCTGGCTAGCACAAATGCTGGAATCAAAGTTGAAAACAGCTCAAAATAGGAGGAGAATGGACTATATATCCATATAGTCCTGCTCTTGTTCTTTCCAACCTCTACGTAATCAGGCAGAGATAGGTGTATGTGCTTGAGTTTGTGCAGAACTGTTAGAACAACCCAAGACCTCTTTTACTGAAGTTCCAGATAACATGGGAATCTGTAGTTGCTTCCAAGGGATTACGAGTACTGCCTCCTTTCAGACTTCATAGGTGGACAGAGACTGGAGAGGAAGGGAAACTAGACTCCATGCACTAAGAACTTTCTTAGCATTTGGGTAAATGCCTGAATAAAATTACGATATCCCCTATAGCTAATAAGTTCAGGTGATAAGATTCTATTGCATCTTTCAGAAAGATCACTGAAATAAGTTTAAAAATCGGCTTACCTGAGTTTGAATATCATCACCAGTCACAATATTTCCCACTGCTCTTAATGCAGGCGACACGACCTTGTAGTCATTGTGCCTAAACAACGGAATTGTTGAAATAGTTTAAAGATAGAAAGATAGATGTATTCTTCTTGATACAATCACTTTTTTTTAACTGTTCATTTGGGTTTGTGGATACTATGCTAATAATTCTTTCATACAGCTTATCAAAGAATTCCACCATATTTTATCTCAGGGCAGAACAAAAGCCCAGCATCATCATATTGAAGAGGCAGGACTTAAATGATAAAATTGACTTCTTAAAACAGTGGTACAGAAGTTGAAAAAAAGCTGGGCTGCTTTAATTAAATGCAGAGAAATCCTGTGCTTACATATTACATAAAGCACTTCTTCTGAGCTGATATATATATATCTTTTTAAAACTTTTTCAAAATTTTATATATGCATTTTTTCAAAATTCATATACACAATGATTGCATCTATGAATCTTTCTTTTCTTTTGAAGTTAAACAAAAATCAACAGATTTTTATGTTATATCTTTTTCAACAAGATGTAATATTTTAGAAATGAGCTCACTGCATTTGTTATTAGAGATAGAGTGAAATTAATGATTTAAATATGTTGTTTCTTTTTGGAAATAAATTATATGCGTTAACTCAACTTTGAAACTTAATATTTTCAGATGTTTACTTTCTTTTGAAGTTTATTTTTATCATATAAAAGTGAACATCTGAAAAAAACCTTGATTTTTTTTGTACGCATGCTTATTTTTGTACACATGCTTATTATTACACAAATGCTTATTATTCAACTCTGGACAGACAAACATGATTCCAACTATTTAGTGGTCTGAATTGATAGATTAGCTGTGATGACTACTGAATTATGGCTTTTTTAAAAAAAATTGATTTATATGCCGCCCTTCTCCGGAGACTCAGGGCGGCTTACAATGCGTTAAGCAATAGCCTTCATACTTTTGTATATTTTATACAAAGTCAGCTTATTGCCCCCATAATCTGAGTCCTAATTTTACCTACCTTAGAAAGGATGGACGGCTGAGTCAACCTTGAGCCTGTTGAGATTTGAACTTGCAGTAATTGTAGGCAGCAGATATAAGTGGATGTTAATTAGTCTGCTGAGCCACCAGAGCTCCTTTTCTACACCATACAACTCTATTTACGTATGTATGAGAATATTTACCCTATATGTATTTTATTTCTCTTTTAAGCCTTTTCCTTCATTTCTTTCGTTTTTATTCAATTAAAAAAAGAGAAAAAAGGGGGGTGGGGAACCCTCAGAACCTATAGATTATTTTTTTTAAAAGAAAAGGCTACCTCCACTAAATCTGTAAGAAAAAAATCAACAAGGAATGTGACCAGTGCCTTCAGAATGCTACTGAATGCACCAGCTATATGGAAAGGAAAAAGAATGAAACTGAATAACATGAAATGGAAAAGGTCTACCTGCCTGAAATAATTCAAGTGAGCTCTTAGTAATATGTTTTTTATATGGTCAAGAGTATGACCTCTACACTAGAAAAAGAAATCAACAATAAAATCAACTCTAAAAGAAAACCAAGTGAATCTCCCTAAATTGTTCAATAAAATCTAATTACTTCCACTGGCACAAAGTCAAACCATGCTGTGGGGAGAAAATGGAAAATATTGCTTCAGGTGTGTCTGCCTGTGTGGGTGAGAGAGAGAGTGTGTGCACGTGTGTTTGGGGTGGGAGAATAACACAGAATGTTCAAATGGAATTAATTATCATTCCCTGACTAGACCTTTACACTGGAACATTCTGTATTGCAACATTTGGTGGCAGACTCCTTGTATCTATGTACTACTTAATACAGGCACAAATTAAGCTGATAGATAAAAAATAAGTTGAACTGGATACTTGTGCCTGTCTTGAATTTGCCAATTGTAGAATTCCTGCTGTCTCACAGAAGAGAATAGAGGCAAGAAAGACAACTATCACTGCAGGCTTACTTGTAGTGCTGATATGGCCTGAAGAAACTATATCTGACACACTGATTTAATTTAACGCCTTCTACTATCTTCTGCAGCACTGTGCTGGTGAAATAATTATCTGATTTAAAGAGACTTACATCAGAAGTTCTACCAATCTTCTGCAGACCCCAGAATCAATAACCGCTTGTATTTTATCATTCGGTCCATCGGAAAGGTAAGAAAGGGCCCAGCAAGCATCTGCTAATACATCCGAGTCACTGCTAAACAACAGCCTTGATAGAACACCTAAGCAAGGACGAACCTTAAGAGTTTAGAAAGAGAGAATTGCAAATTGTAAATTTACTTTTTACTGCAAGCATTTTTCCAAAGATGGAAACCAGGAACTATTAAATTAAAAATGCAATGATAGTTTTTAAAATATGCCTGTAATTGTGTCTCTTTGCAGAATGATACATATTCCAAATCTACAAAACACTTTATTCAACAGCAATCATACTAATGTCAACTAAAATATCCTTAAAATATAGTCAGGGCATCTGACTATCTACAGAAAAGGAATGAGAGTGGAACTGAACTACGATAACAATTAAACCTTAAAGGGTTGTTTTTTTTAAACCTGGAGCAAAACCTGCATCATTCTTTAATTTAAAGAATCTTTAATTCTAAATTAAAGATACCTTTAAAGTAACAATTGGAATAAATAGATAAAGAAAAGATTACCAGTTCAAAATAGTAATTTAACAAAATTCAGATACCTTACTTAAATGCACCAAAACCAGGATAAAATGGAATGCTTAGTTCCAATTAAATCCAATATCTGGTAGGATTTATATGGTATTGGATTAGAAACCTTTTTTTTTTCTGCCTTAAGAAAATCAACGGAAGGCGACTGGATTAGGCACTAGCCACCTCTTTAAGACACTTAATTATATAGTAGCAGAGCACACAAATAAATAAGACTATTGCTGTAACTCTCTTCTACTGTAGGCTTAAGTCCTTGAAAGTTACATTTCCCTAAACTGTAGGAAGTATTGTTCAACTCTCCAAAATTCTCAAGGACACATGGCTAGCAAACTGGAATTCTAATGTTAAAAATCCACTATATTTGAAAAATTCCACCTTGGAGAAGGCTAGATTATTTTAAGATGTTGCTGATGTGAATTCAAATATTTTCTCTCTAACCTAGAACATGGGAATTTTTTTAAATGGCAGTTCCTCTGTGATAGGTAAGTCTGTGTGGTATGTGTAGAGCAGATTACAGCCTATTGATCATACCTTGAGAAAATAAAAGCTATGAACAAACTTTTCCAGGCTAAGGAAGCCCAAAGCAAACCTTAGCTGGGCAATGTCAAAATGGGATCCATCTGGCTAAAGGAAAAAGGAATTCCTAAGAGTTTAAAAATATTTTGAACACTTTTGAATACTTTGTCACAATGCCCTGCGCTAAATACAGACTAATTGAGGCATCTCTAAGACCAAAATAGGGCATGTGAGATTGACAGTGAGGGAAACTTGGACAATGAAGCAACATACCTACATACATACACAGTGCTTATGGGCAGTCTGCAATAGGAAAGTGAGCCCATTGGAAGATATGGCTCTTTCATTTGAAGATACTGGAATCTTCCTGTTGCTTATTACAGATCAGTGGCATGTCCCATTTTCAAAATGGGTGTGAAAAAAGTCAACTCAGTAAGGAATTATGTGAAACTTGATTCCCTAAAAGAGGAATCAGTAAATTGAAAACCTTAGGGTATTTGATATTATTGTAACTCTTTAAAAACCTATGAGCATATTCTACCATTTCACAAATGGTGATGATTACAATGTACCCTACATTTACTTTTTCTTAGTTATGTTTGAACTGAGCTGGCTTGAGTTTGTGTGTGTGCATGCATGCATACACACACACAAACATACATGCTGAATCTGAATTTTCTTGAACTGAGACCAGTGTAAAATAACTTTAGCTGGGACTGAACCAAAAAAATATTAGATAGCCACTTTCAGGATATTTCAAGTATAGCATAACTCACTAAATTACTTTTTAGTTGAACTGACTTTTATGTTATGCATTTCCAGCAGATACTGTGTAGAACCATTACTGCTTTGCTCTGTTACAGCCAAATGTTAATTTAATTTAATTGGTTGTCTATTCTGAAAGTGAATATCATCATCAGGAAAGTTAATGTACTATATTCAGTTCCACTCTATGACAAAAAAAAATTATCTAGACATAAATAGTTGACATTTGAAGAAGTTTAATTTATACAAGAAGATACACTGGAACAACACAATGTATGCATTTTATTATTATAGCATTTTTATAGAGTGAAACATGGGCCTTACCTTGCTAAAATCTGGAGGTGGATTTTTGCCTCTACAGAGGTTTGAAAGTGCCCAGACTGCATTTCTGGTAGTTGTGAGCCTGTTAGAATGTGTTAGGAGTCTGCCAAGACAATAATAACAACAATAATTTGAATGATTATTTTTGTCATGTACATGAAAATAACTTTACTTCAGTTAATATTCAATGGTTTTCGTGCAATGTAATCATGTAATGATGGAGTAGCATTTCAGCTGCAGAACAGCTTCTTTTTATTTGTATCTTCTGGTTTACTTGTGATCTTATCTGAGCAAATCGGGGGAATGAATGGAAGAGAATTGAAAAAGAAGAGGAGTAGCTGTTTTGTTAATACAAAATTGGATATAATCCATAGAAATCATTAATTTTTGGAAAAAGGGAATAAATTAGAAGAAATGTGTTTTATAATTTTTAGACAAATAATTAGAACTTTTATTCTAATAAAAACTGTTATTTAACTGTTCTAGCACCAAGAAGCTTTATGTCAGCAAACTAACACCAAAAGTATATAACTGACATTTCAAACCTATGCATCTCTATTCAGAAGTTCTGTTGAGTCCAATGGTGCTTAACTCCAAAGAAATAATTACAAGGGCTGGGCAGTGCTTTGGAAATAATACAATATATTTGCAATTGTGTCAAGCAATTGTGTCTTTTCTCAAGATCACATGCCTACCAGATTATTCTGGGAAATGAGTTAGATGTTTAAAAACAATTGCAGATAAATGCTATGTTTCTCATTCCACCCACTCCAAAGCACCTTTTTTGGAATCTGAAACATTGATCATTACTAACCTACTGTTTAAGTTAGCAATTAATCTGGATGCTTTGGTTAGGTAGTTATTCATACCATTCAGTTAACTACCAGAGATTATCTGTACTTACTGTAAGAGTGGAGGAAGTATTCCACAGCTTAATACATAATCTCTGCATTCTGCATTATCTCCGGCAATATTGCCAAGGGCCCACACTGCCTTAGAAACAAAGATGTAAATTAATATTCATAATTATTTTTAAGACTTTTAAATACTTATCTGTAATTCTTATGCTTACAGTTTATAACAACATGATCATTTATGCGGAAGTATATAAACTGCGTGCAAAAGAAAAAAAATAGTCCTATTACTTAAATAGCTAATGTTAACATGAAAGAAACTACTAAAATAGCATATACTTTTTAAAATAGGCAAGGTATTTGCACTTGTCTACGATGTTGAAACAGCTTTATGTGATCGTACGATGTTATACGTTCAACATCATGTGTATGAGCTTTGAACTTGTAAAGGTCCCACGCTGTATCCTAACTTTCAGCACACTACAAATAGGAGATTGAAAGTTTTTGCTTTCAGTTTAAACTAGCCACAGTATCTCCAAACTGTCATAGCTTGAGGTTAAGTCAAACTCTTATCTGAGACAATGGAAAAATGCTTTAGATCACCAAGCAGCAGATTCTTTCCATCTTGCATCCTGGTGAACTGGATGCCATCAGACAACAGTTATAAGGAAGGACACACTTGGAGAAGGCCACCACCAAAACCTTCCATGTGATGGATAGAGACACTGCCTGGCTTACAAGCTACCCAGAGTAATTGAGAGTTGAGTAGCATATCCCCCAACTGGGTTAGGTGAACAGTTTCTATTGAAGTATTGTTTCTAAACCTATACACATTCAACCCCCAGTTCTAGCTTCCTGTGAATCATTAATAAATCGATAAATGAAGCAAAAACTTCCAACATCTTCTGAATTGTGCCATCAAAAGACAAAACAGTGGAGAACACACAAATATATGATTCAAGTATTTAATGTTAACCATAGTTTAGGATTACATCTAGATTAAATGTTGTTTTTATTCAAATATGTATTATTTTTTCCTTCCCAAAATTCTCTGAGGCCTAACATTTTATAGTACAATTGAATCTGTGTAATAAAGAAATTCACAAAAAGTTACCTGCTCCTGGACATCTTCATGTTCAGAATTCAACAGTTTAATAAAAATTGGGACTGCTCCAGTTTCAATTACCACTTTGGTATGCAGGAAAGTTCCAGATGCTATATTTGTAAGAGCCCATGCTGCCTCAAACTAGAAGGTAAAAATATGACTTTATAATCAATTCCGTATGTTTATTTTTATGGGCTTTTTTCCCCCATATAAGAATATAGCCTTCAATTGTATTGTGTAAATCTCTGCAGTGAAATAACAGTTTAGTAGTTGTGTGGAATATTCAAATTAATCATTCTCACACAATTTTAGCAAGAGTATAAATACAGTCTAGGAGAATAGTAAAATATTCTTATACTTCAATAAAATTTAAATAATTTCAACAAATGGGAACAATTTACGATTGAAACTTTGGGAGAAACAATGGAAAACTATGGCAGCACTACAAGCAAACAAAAGTCCCAATCCAGTGTTGTCTCAATTTATCTACCTCTTATATTATTCAATATCTTTTTTTAAAAAAAAATCTGCTTGTGGGAATAACGTGCTCACTATGGAACCAAATTTAAATTGTGTTCCTCCTACAAGACATAATATTTATGTTTTGGGGCCATTTAACTTGTGGAACTGTTAAAATATTTAACAAATGAAGGGGAGAGAGAAGCAAAACCTCCCCTCCTATTCCAAAGGTAAGATATAACATTTTAATTCCTTGTCCTTCCTCCTAAATGTATCTCATATTATTTCAGGAACTCACTTGAAGAGTGCAATTATCATTTTTTTCTAGAAATTTGACAAATCTCTCCACAACTCCTGGTTTTTGAATAACTTCATCAATTGGAGGATTAGGTTCTGAAATGAAAGATAAAGTAATCCAATAAAAATAAGTTACATATAACTTCAGTACAATGGAAAACAATTAAGAAGGAAGTATAAAGAACGCTGAAAAGCACAGCTCCCTTAATGAACTTGCTGGAATATTGCAGATGAATGAAATTAAAGTCCCCATTTTAAAGTATGCAAGCTTATTGCTCTTAGGGAAGTTACTCTGTCTCTAAATCTAACCTAACTCAGTGATATATCACGACATTAAAATGCTGTGAGAAACTCTCTGAATTAATATAGAAAACAAATGTAAATCATCTGCCATACATAGGGAATAAGCCAAAGCAATTGACCAATATGTAAGTCAAAAAATGTTTACTAAGGAATTGTATAGTTTCTCATGGTTTCATGAGAAACCAAATTAGTCCACAGATTCATCTAGCCTAGATGCTTCACAGTGATCAGTGTGATGCTTCTAAGAAGTCCCTAAGCAATAGCTCCTTTTGTGTTGCTCCTTCCCAACTTTAATAATCAGTTAACATACTAACTTTGAATGGGAAAATTTCATTTGGTACGATGATAGCCATGAAAGCAGAGCTTCTAAGCCACTTTTAGGCAATGCTACTGCCATCTGTTGCCCTAGTGAATCACACAAATCAATCATTATTGAATGAAGAATTATAAACTGAGGGTACAGGCAGGATGCATGAAAGCCTCAGGATGGTACACTCAAGCCTTTCCATACAAACCTCAAGAACTAGCAGAGACCAAAAGCAGTTTATAAAGTATACCATCATCAAAACTATGCTTTAATAACTTGAATAACAGCTGAAAGAAGAAAGCAATCAAAACATGCTTCCCTTTAACCAAGTGCCAACTTACACAAAAGCCTTAAAAATGAAAAGACACTTTACTTACATTCCTGGTTGTATTTATAAATAAGGGAGGGCATGTAGGTTAATTTGTGAAAACAGACATAAAGATATTGTGCCCTTTGGGGCCAAACTCTTTATAGAGACTAAAGCACTTGCGTCTTCAAGCACTTATGATTGAAGAATGACAATGGTTCTTCAGCCTTTTAAATTACTGTAAGACTGAGTGTTTGGGACTAAATCCAAAATAAACTTGTTCTAATGCACTGCAGAGATGACTGAACTGTTGGGAAGAAGTAGAGTCTCTCTCTTTCTCCTGCTGTTCCCATCTCCATTATTTCCTCCCTAGTAAATATAGTATTAATGTACTGTAGCATATACATACTAGAGGGGGAAACCATAATTATTTCCATCAAGCAGTTATTTAATTAGCCTCTTTCCAAATTAGGCTTGCTGATAGTTTCTTTTATTAAAAAAATAATTTGAAAACACTAGGCAAATATAACATGGAAGCACATTTATCTTTTCTAAAAAAAGCAGCTAAAAATTAAGCTGAAGAATCCTTAAAAAGGATTACTCTTTCCTCAAAAACAAGAGATAACCTGAAAAGGGAAAGAAAAAAAATCTCAAACCAAACAAAATAAAACTCTATCTTACATATTAAACTTCGGCACAATGATAACAGTCACTGCATTAATATCAATTAATATTATATCAAATACAAGGTAAATTATAGTATACATTGCTTCATCTTTTGGCTGGTAGAGTATTGCCTTTTCCAGTAGGAAAAGTTATACATTTCTAAAAACTGTTCCTTAATCACTTTTAGCTTCCATTTTAACTTTTATCCCACAAAAAAACAATCAACTTTAATTCAACAGCTTTGCCATATTAGCTAAACTAGTGGGACAACAGAGAGAAACCCATACAATGTACAAAGTGGCTCTTCTTTTCCATCTGAGGGTATGTGTCGTTTTCCTTTTGTAATTGGACATTTGACGTTAAATTATTCCTGTACCAATACAATCATTTAAGATTAAAAAACAAATTAAGAACTCTAAACATGGATTATTAAAAATTATTTTTCAATTTAATGCAAATACTGAAACTAAAATTTATTAAGTATTAAGAAGAAAATCATGTTTTGCTGATTTACCTTTAGAAAGTAATTTTCTGAACTTTTGGGTTGCTGCAAGTTGTTGACTAGGATCATCTGAGAAAACCATCTGAACCATGTCACACGTAATCACATCTTCCTAAAAATGGAAAACCATTGTAATTTCCTAAAGTTTGAGCCAGATTTGTAAATGTACTTTAAGGCATGTGATAGATTCCTTACCTCTGTAATTGGTACAGTAGAGCTTACATCAGGATCCTGGATTGGGCTCTCCTGCATTGACTCTTCACTGGACAGCAGAGAAACATTTCTACGTTTAAATAACTGAAAAGAAATGTAAGAAAAACATTGGGGATTATTTGGAGGGGGAAGTGATACTACATCAATCACACACATCAATTTTTTTCTATTACTTTCTCACTTTTTGGTCTTCAAGTTTTCTCTTGAAACATGAAAACTGAATCAACAATGCATTACTATTAGCTCTAATCCTACTTTGGGAATCCTTTTACAAACAAGATGCTTAATGAATATTTAGGAATATGTGCTAAATTTAGGAATATACTGTATATACTGGTTTATTTTAACTCAGTGTGATGCTCAATGTGATGGCATTTTCAGACAATATTACATAACCAAAGGAAAAACAAATAATTACAATGAGAAGTATTGTGAAAGAGAAAAAAAAGAGTGCTTTGTGATAAAAAAAACAAACTCTGAGCTCTTTTCCTTATTCAGTAACAATGAATAAAGATTGATTTGTCAAAACTATATCATAAAAAGTTGTTCCTGCAGAAATAAGGGTTTCCAAAATATGTTAAATGGTGTTCATTTTTTGCAGAATCATTTTAGTCTCAAATATTTTCACATGCAAGGCTAAAAAAATCCCCTAAAATAATACTTTGTGCAAAAAAGAAAAACCAATTAGACACATTTTCACTATAGTCTAAATACAAGTAATATCTAGATACGTCTCACAGTATGTTTTTCATTCTTTTTTATATTATTAATTAATCAATGCTATTGAAAGTTTTAAAGAGAAGATAAAACTACCAAAAATTAATATAGAATAAAAAAAAGGAGGGGGAAACAAATTTTTAGAAAGAAAAGAAAAAAATTGAGAGAGACTTCTGATTCCCTTTGTTGCAAATGCAAATACAAATACAAAGAGTTGTGGTGGCACACTGGTTAGAATGCAGTACTGCAGGCTACTTCTGCTGACTGACGGCTGCCTGAAATTTGGCAGTTTGAATCTCACCAGGCTCAAGATTGACTCAGCCTTCCATCCTTCTGAGGTTGGTACAATGAGGACCCAGATTGTTGGAGGCAATATGCTGACTCTGTAAACCGCTTAGAGGGCTATAAAGCACTGTGAAGCGGTATATAAGTCTAAGTGCTATTGCTAACTTTATGATTACAAAAAAAAATTCTCCCTTTTTCTATTATCTATTTTTTCCTCTAAATTCTTTTTATTCTCCACCCTCATTTCCTTCTATATTGTATCTTTTAAGTCTGAGGGCATTTTCAGAACCTTTCAAGTTAAAAAGTAACATACATACATAAGAACCAAATAAAATTATTCTGTGTCAGCAAAAACAAAAAAGTTATGACAGTACATCTCTAAAGAAAAGGTTAAATTTAACCATTCTGCATCATCCAAGAGAGCTATTACTACCAACTCAACTTTCTTGTGAGAAGAATTTTAGAAACTTGTTTTCAATAAAATGTATTGCATTTTATTTACAATGGACTATATTGCTCAGGGAGGGAGGGAGGAAGATAGCCAGGGATCAGAGCTGGACCCTAAATCATTTCTCCAATATGACCAATTTAACAAGTTTATGACTGTCATTGCTCAGCTATGATTTAAATGAGGACGTACTTGTTCTTCCCTTTTTTGTTTCCGAAGCTGAATGCCTTCCTCTTCTCTTCGTCTTCGCATTTCTTGGGGGTTGAGGGCATTGTTTTTATAACTTTTCATTCTGTAATTATCTTTTTCTGGGCTTGCCATGTTATCTGCAATAAAGAACAAAAGGGTTTACATTTCTAATGACATTTTCTGGAAAAACAAAATAATTATTTTTATTGATAATGATGAAAAGAAACATTCGATGTTGTGAATGTTGAAAAATGGCAAAGATGCAAAGTGAAATGGGATAAATAGAGGAATGTCAAAATATGAACATGGTTTTTTTAATGAAATGACAGTATGTGAAACTGCATCTGTGCCTGCAACTGCTTCATAGAATTCAAATTTCTCATAATTTGCCCATATGAAGAGCTGTGGTGGTGCAGTGGTAAGAATGCAGTACTGTAGACTACTTTTCTTGACTGACGGCTGCCTGCAGTTTGGCAGTTCAAGTCTCACCGGCTCAAAGTTGACTCAGCCTTTCATCCTTCGGAAGTCAGTAAAATGAGGACCCAGATTGTTGGGGGAAATATGCTGACTCTGTAAACTGCTTAGAGAGGGCTGTAAAGCACTATGAAGCGGTATATAAGTCTAAGTGCTATTGTTATATTGATTTCTATGTCAGGCAGAAAGTGTAATTTGCCCTATAGTACAGACTAGATACTTCAAAAGAAAGGTTTTAATTAATACTTCTTAAATTTCTCTCTCAATACACAAACTGTTTTGTCAATTTTTACCGATGTTATTGTTTGAATGGCACTTTTCATTTGTGTTTGTCCTCATGACTACCAATGCCACAGCAACACTGGCATCCTTTCATATTCTAAATATTTATATGTATATTATACATATACATATAAATTATACATATTTTATTTTGTGGAATTGATAAAAAATTAGCTATTCAAATAGTATTTATATTATATAAATCTGCTCCTAAGAAAGCAGCTTTTAATGAGCTTTGTCCCAATTACCGTATTTTTCAGAGTATAAGACACACCGGAGTATAAGATGCACCTACCTTTTTGGGTTTTTTTTTTTAAAGTTTTTTTTTTTTTTTAGACAAACACATATACAAACATACAATGTATTTTCTTTGAACAGAGTATTTGGCTGGTTCACAAATTTAAACAGTGTTTAGTCATTTCAATTAAATTTACAATTTCTATATTTCCTTTTTGCCATATTTATTCCTCATCTATTTTTTTAAAAAAACCAATATTACCCTTCATTCTCATCTCTAATCTTAATCAAATTCAATTTTTCCCTTCTATTCTATATTATACCCCTTCCCATTGTCATCTATTTTTATATCCATCCTCACACTGGTTAATTATTTAATATTACAATTGTTTAATACAAATTCAACATTTTTTATATAAATCAATTAGTTATAACTATCTTTTTTGTATATTAATCAATATGAACATGAATATTCCAATTATTTCCATGCGATCCAATTTCTTACAAATCAATTAATTATATTTACCAATAATAATAAACCAAATAATTTTCCCCATATATTCCTCCAAACCATAACTTAACCATTTCTGCTTTCAACACAATATACAATTAATAGCATCTCAATTATTACAATTCCCTAGTTAAATAGACCTTTTTTTCTTTTGTGTTTTAAAATCTTGAACTCTCCTCTTTTGCCCTAACTTTCCCATTGTTTGCACCTACCTTTTTTGGTGAGCAAAAAGAAAAAGAAATCTCTCTCCCTGCCTCATTTTGTCATGTTGCAACAGAGCCTGCTTTACTTTCAGTTTCGTTTTAGCTAGGGAAAAAAAAATCTGCTCCAGCACTCTTTGCAGCAAGCAAAGAGCTTTCAAAACAAGAGCTTTCAAAAGAGCCTGCACAAAACAGCTGAGAGCAAATCAGCTGAGAGTCGGGAGGCAGATCTAATCAACTTGTGCTAATTAGCCTATGGTGAAGCTGAATGGGGCTGTTTTTTCTTGCTGTTTGCTTGCAAGGAGGTAACTGCTGGGAGGCAGAGGCCAAAGGGTGGGGGCCAGTGGGTGGGCAGGGCTACATTCGGTGTATAAGACGCACCTAAATTTTCACCTCCTTTTGGGGGTAAAAAGGTGCATCTTATACTCTGAAAAATACGGTAAATGGATATAAAATTGTATGGCAAAGATGTGACACAAAAATGTATAGGCACATACAAATTATTTCACTTGTTTAGTTCAGTTCTGCACAAGCATACCAATACAGTAATGAGTGTCATTAAGTTAAGTGGGTCTTCTAAATAAATCAAAACTGGGACCACATAACATGTTCACCTTGTTCACATACTTAATTAACCTAATTTGTATGTAAAATTGTTAAAATGCATGGGATAGTTGGTAAAAAAAATATTATTAGAACATCAATTTACCTTGTTTCCATTGCAAGGTCTAAAAAGTACTAATATTTAAAACATAGCAACAACAATCCAAGCAGCATGATGGAAACTAATCAAAACACATCAGAACAGACTTGTTTATATCAGAACCAAATACAAAATCAAATTAACTGATGCACAGAACTTTCAATGGGCAAATGATCAGCAGTTCAGAAGCATTATGAAGACAAAGTGCACATCCCTAAGTATCAGATTCTACAATTCTGGTCTCTTCTGAGAAGCAATTATGCTTCATATAGAGAGGGGCACATTCAGCAAAACTCTACAAAAGAATTAAGGATTGTCTGAAATTCATTTTTTATATTATTTGCAGAAGAAATAGAGAGAAAATGTTTGCACCTCGTCAGATACAACTGAATCAATTGAAAACTTCAGAGACTAATCATCAAGCATAGTTACAGTGGTCAATGTTACACCAACCAGAAGCTTTACATAGACTTGAAATTTCTGTAATACAATGTCGTAAATTAATTCTGGGTTAGGAGGCACAGCAACAGAAGCTAGACTAAAATTTTGTACAGTGATCTATGTATGACTAGTTTCAACAAATGAACTCTCAAAATCAAGAAGGATGCAACCCTCAATGTTAACAGTTATGCTCCCTTCTAAGTCTGAAGCAGTCTTCAAGCCTCACTGTTTTCAAATTTAGAAGGTATGTCGGGTGTTTCTCTGGAAATTCTGACTAAAGCATTTGAACAACTTTTGCCATTATAATGAAACATACAAACTCTTCTCTCCCTAACTGGTCTTCCTTTCTCTAAACTAGACAGAACTGAGTACTGCTCCCTGAAAGTGTTAAGCAGAAACAGGAAAGGTGGGTTGGGGGAGCATTAAAAACTCTTCCCTGTGTCTATGCACCCTAAGTATAGAAGCTGAATTTGTGGCACTCCAAACAAGGGTGCTAGTACAGGTGGTCCTCAACTTACAACCACAATTGAGCCCCAAATTTCTATTGTTAAGTGAGTTGTGCCCCATTTTACGACTTGTCTTGTCACAGTTGTTAAGTGAATCACTGCAGTTGATAAATTAGTAATCCAGTTGTTAAGTGAATCTGGCTTCTCCATTGACTTTGCTTGACAGAAGGTCGCAAAAGGTGATCATGTGACCTCGGGGCACAGCAAAGGTCATAAATATGAACCAGCTGCCAAGCATCTGTATTTTGAACCACATGATCATGGAGATGCAGCACAGGTCATAGCAATAGCAACAGCAATAGCACTTAAGACTTATATACTGCTTCACAGTGCTTTTACAGCCCTCTCCTTCACAGCATATTGTCCCCAACAATCTAGGTCCTCATTTTAACCAACCTCAGAAAAGGATGGAAAAATAGTCATAAGTCACAATTTTCAATGCCATCGTCACTTTGGTCCCTAAACGAACTGTTGTAAATCGAGGACTACCTGTAATTTTTTTTTCCTTTGGGGGAAAAAAAAGAGATTACTGCTAAACTACTATTCCCAGCATCCCCCTGGCTTTGGCTATACTTTCCAGGGATGCTGGGAATTGCAGTTCAACAGTTATCTGGCACGGAATCAGCTGTTTACAGGAGGGAGGGAGGGAGGGCAGAAACTCACCATTTTTGGCATTCCTGGCCCTAACATTGTAATCCCAGATCACATGTGTGAGGAATTGCTGTAAAAAACTATTGTTTTCAGTTGTTGCTTCCCCCCCCCTTCTCCCCCCACCCCACTCTCTCTCTCACCAACGATGCCATGAACAAATAGAGCAGGGAGAGCAAGAAAACAATGCAGGCAGACAGACAGCTGTCTCCTCCCTGGGTCCAGTGGAACATGGATCCTACGAATGTCTAATCTGGATTACCTCTAAGTAAACATGTTCGATTCCAAGTATCTCTCGCCAATTTTATAAAGGCGCCAGGTGGAAGAGAGGGCGAGAGTGCCGCCAGCCGGAGGAAATAAAGAGGGAAAATGTGCAGATATCAAAATAATAATAATAATAATAATAATAATAATAATAATAATAATAATAAAAACCCGATACATCACGCAGTCCTAAACACTTGGAAAATGTTCGACTAGTGATTTGAGATACGAAATCCAGCATGGTTATCTTGTTTGCTGTGTATACTGTCAAGTTTGTGAATAATAATAATAATAATAATAATAATAATAATAATAATAATAATAATGATAATGATAATGATATTAATAATAATAATAATAATAATAATAATAATAATAATAATTCGAGCTGCTGAGCTATTAACCAGCCTCAAAGGCTGTGAATCTCATTAAAGATTAACCAATAATAATAATAATAACAACAACAATAATAATAAATTGTCCTCTGCCCAACTGCATCGGTTAAGCTTTGTTATTTCAGGAGAACCTTCTCAAGCGCCGGGCAAAGGCGAAAGAGACCCCACACATCACCCTCGCCTCTCCCGAATGGGCTTCATTCGGTTTTAATAGCCACCTTTCCCACTTTAGACTCTACTGAAGCAAGGCCACAGGTTAATCCCGCGTCTGCCCATCCTTCACCTCGCAGCCTACAAAACGCCCACGTACCCATCAGAGGGCGACCCCAGGCGCCGCTGACCCTCCACCGCAGAGAAATCGGGAACGTAGTTGAAGATGGCGGCCCAAAGGGCACGAAACGCCAAGCTGGGCGCCGCCCCTTTTCCCAGCGTGCCCTGCGCGCAGGAACCGCGAATTGGTCGAACTCTCCAAAAGCTCCATAGAGATAGGCAAAGTGTAGAGTGAGTAGATAGAGATAAACAGGGGTTTAGAGCGAGTTTTACTAGACTAGAGAGACAGACAGGGCTTAAAAGGACGCTCAGTTATCTAGAGAACCGTTAACTTGAAAGTCTACGGAGAGTCTCAGTCATCCAGGTCATGGTTGTCCCAAAGGTGCGTTTTTCAAGAGGCAACTTGGACTTTCTGATTTTTTGAAGCTTGAGCTGAAGAAGCTTCTTGCATGAGAAGCGAAACGTCTTCAAAGAAAAACCAGAAAGTCCAGTTGCCTCTTGAAAAAGCACCTTTGAGAGGTTGACTTGAATGTTCATGTACTAATATTTTAACTTATCATCATCACCACTAAGAGGACGTAAATACAGAACGCGTCATCTAAATAAAGTCGTCTGTATTGACTGGTTTCAGTAAATCGGCTTTAACTTTAAAACCGGCAAAGAATTGAAAGGAGTGTTTTTGCACGCTAAGCTTTTATTGGGCAGCCGCCCATCTGCTTCACAGGGTGAAAGTCTTCTCTTCGTAACTCTTTTTTTGCCTCTTCCGGCTGCTATTTTTCATTCCTGTCCGCTAAAAACTAAAAATCTGTCGCATGATTATATGCTTTCGAGCAACCACATGATTTTCTCCATAACATTCTCCAGCACCTAATTGTTCTTTCAGGTCTCCCAAAAGGGCACTCATCGCCAGCGTAACCCAGTCCTTCCTCCTCGGCTCTTGGTCGTTGCGGAGTTAAAAATGCAAAAAACAAAGGAATGTTTAACATATATTATTCCCCTTTGAAATATCACGATTGATTTTAGTCTTAACTAAACCAACAGTGATTGCTTTTAATATATCGTTATGACAACCACTGTCAACCTCTTGAATGTGCCTGCTTAATTCCAACATTTATCTTTGCGGGCTGAGTAGAAAAGCTTTGTTGTAGATCCCAAAGGTGCTTTTTCAAGAGGCGACTGGACTTTCTGGTTTTTCTTTGAAGACGTTTCCCTTCTCAGCCAAGAAGCTTCTTCAGCTCTCCACCATCCAATCAAAGCTGAAGAAGCTTCTTGGCTGAGAAGCGAAACGCCTTCAAAGAAAAACCAGAAAGTCCAGTCGCCTCTTGAAAAAGGCACCTTTGGGGACAACCGTGACCTGGATGACTGAGAATCTCCATAGACTTTGTGGTAGATAAGAGAATTGTACAGCAAACTCGTGAACGGGAAACCATAGAAACCAGATAGTGACAGCTCCCATCCCAGACCAGCGGGCGCTACGTAAACCAAAAAGCTACGTAAAAAAACTACGCGCAAAACAAGTTTTTGAGAAAACGAGTTTCGATGCCAATAGGGGAGTTTTGACGTTGCGTTATTAAGGGGGCTAAGCACGCGCGGCGGCATCTATCACCTAAAGGAAGGCCTGCGCGCGGCGACTCCGCCCTCCGCCTGCTTCGGCACAGCGGCGCGCGCGAGAGGCTTTGCGATTGTTTGGCTTGGTCTTAAAGGGGCGTGGCTTATTTGCATTCCGAGAAGGAGGAGCCGCTCAGCGCTGTCCCCCAGGCGGCGGGAGAATGGACGGGTCCAGGAGAGGTCGGCAGGGAAGCCCGCCTGCCGGTGCTCGAGCTGTTCCTCCGTCTCCCCTTCCTGGTGAGTCAGCGGGAGGGATACCCGCCCTGCCCTCCCCTCCCTCGCCCTCGCCCTCGCCCTCGCCCTCGGACGCTGCGAGGCTTGGCGGTCTGGAGAGACCACCGCTGAGTTCCGTTTGCGATCTCCCGCCCGCCAGCGCTCTACGAAGAGGCGAAACGCCTTCCCGGTTGTTGCAGAGATGCAAAGGGTTGGGATTGAAATGTTTCCCTGGGGAGTCTCGGTTGGTTTTCGTTTTTTAACCGAGCGCTTGGAGTTTGGCGCATCCTCCTTTTGAGTCTTTCTAATTGCAACCGGAATTTGGCTGTACCTTAAGCAAAACATGCATTAAAATAAGACGGTGGTCGAGGAGGACAAATCTATGTCCTCAAAGTGGCCATATAGGATGCACAAACACATTACTTTTGTGTCTTGATCTTGTATCTTTTTACACGGGATACCCATGGCTCCCTTTGATCAGTGGGAACACGCACTTCGCATCACTTGTGAGACTGTTTGTGTAAACTGCATCTCGGCACCATATTTCCTGCCGTTTGTTGAGCTCATTGCAATGCACATAACACTCTCTCCTCATCCTGCTTCTTTTCCTACAGCAAACAACTTTGCAAGGTCCCAAAGCACTAGTGAGTTTTTGTGGTTGAGGATAAACTAGGGTTTCCCCACTCCAGTGATGGGATTCAAATAATTTAACAACCGGTTCTCTGCCCTAATGACCAGCTGGGTAGGCGTGGCTTGATGGTCATATGACCTTGTGGGCGTGGTCAACTCAACATTACGTTGATGGGCGCTTTGCCTTAGCTGTTACAATGTAATAAGAGTTAACCAGAGAGGCAGTTTCTGTAAGCAGGGCAATCAAGATTAGGCTAGAAACAACACCAGAATGTTTCCTTCCTGCCTTCCTTATAGGATTAGCCCTGTAAAGTGGGGGGGGGATATTTCTTCCAACAACCAGTTCTCCGAACTGCTTAGAAAGTTAACAACCGGTTCTCCCGAATAGGTGCGAACTGGCTGAATCCTACCACTGCCCCACTCCTAGTGTCTAACTGATACACCCGCCTTGATTCTTTATACAGCAAAAATCAAGCATACTGCTCTGAATAGATTAAGTCGACTGCAATTAAAAATGCCAAACTTTGGCTGCCAGCTGTTTTTGGTGCTTAAGTATCCATTTGTTTAGGGCCACCATTTTAATTGTCACTACTGTATGTCTTTGAGTAACACCATTGTGGAAAATAAATGTAGCTTTTTCACTTGAAGTGTCACTACTCCACATGATAAATCTGTCAAATCTGACAGGTCTCTGACACTAAAACTGACTCTTAATACGAAGTTAAGAATTTATGGATTTTGTTTAGTTTCTTTGATTTTTGTAGGAATGGCCAGTAAAATTATTATCCTTTAATTTTTTTTTCAATGCAGAAAGTGGTCCACCTTTATATGAATGTCCAATATGCCATCTTAGTTGCACCGATTATCCAGTTCTGCAAGAACATGTTGAACTGCACCTAGATGAATGCAGCATTTTAGAAGGTAAAATAAAGGATTCCAAAATAAGACATGTTATCATTTAAGCATGTTTGGTATGATTTAGGAAGTTTCATGCAACTATAAAAGATATAAAACAATATGTTGTAATTGGAAAGATGCTTCAGTATTGTCAGTAGGTTGTTTCTTCTAACACTGTAGAATGAATTTCATAAGCTCTGAAATGTCATGCATATAAGATACTCATTTATATTCAGAGTAGATAACTGTAGCTTAAATAGTTTAAATAATAAAATGTCATAGGCAGTGGAATTTTTTTAAATAATTGATGCAAGCCTCTACCTCAAAGCTTTTGAGACATTGAGTCAGTTTTTTTCAGTCAAAGGCCATTGAAATAAGGCAATATACATTTTTAAAAGGTTGTAAATTATTTTGTATATAAGATAAAATCTAATAGACAGTATAAACTGTATAAACATGTGATTAGCAGAATTCTAGTATTGAAAGCCTCCTTGCCCCCCATATAACCATTGAGAACCACACCTCCCAAGTTGCCATCTGAAATATCCATTTGAGGTTTTCCTGCTTCATCCAGTTGAGTGATACCATGTCAGTGCTATAAGAGTTTCATATTTTTCCCTGTCATTCTCAAATTATAAATACTACTTTTCTTAAACAGGAAATTATATTTTTAACCTTATATAACCAAATTGTTCTGTCCAGGAAATAAGTGATGAGTCTTTGTATCTAAAAAGGATAATTGCATGTTATGCTATACCTTCAGAAATTGTGTAGAATTATTCGTTTCAAAACAATCTTACAAACATTTCTTCTGGAAGAAGAGAAAGAGGAATATATATAATTCATTTTCCTTCCTCCTGGCATCCAGTGGTGTCCTCCACATACTGTTGCATTGAAGCTTTCTCATATCTGGAACAGAGTTTCAGAGATGTAAGGGAAAGATAAATTCCTGCATTCTTCCTCTGCTAGTTGAAATGTTGAGTTCACTGAGGATGATAATTGAGCATTATTTACGATTTAAGAGTTAAGTCCCAGGCATGAGGATTATGCACCTTAGAAACAAACAAAGCAGTTTGTTGGGAAGAAATATATCCCGCAAGTTAATAACTGTGCTCCAAGTGCAAATTAGTATAATATACTGATCAAGTAAACCAGTTTGTATATATGAAGTAGGCGGAGTAATTTCAATTTATAATTTCTGTGATACTACACTGATGAGTAGTAACTAGAGTTTGTTACAAGCAGGTGTATAAATGTTTTAAATAAATACATAAAATTATTTGAATTGTATTGATTAGTTCAGCTTTTCATTATGTCTGTATGAATGTAACGTGCACAATTAAGACTTAATTCTGTGCCTCAGTGAGCATAGGTTCTGTGTAAGCATACATAGAATTATGCTGCAAATTTGAAACTGTAGATGTTGCTGAAATTATATAATATGTGTAGTTTATTTTAGGATAATTAGATATTCAATATGTCAGCATTCCAGAAAACCCCAACTCCAATTAAAAACTCCGAGGCAAGCATTTTCTCAAAGTTCCATTTATTAGAGTAGGTACATTGGCACATCTGGGAAAACCCGAATCTGAGAGTTCCAGGTTTTTCCTCAGTTACTCAAAATCTCCAAAACCATTCCCTCATTCATCAGTCCATCACATGTTCCAATCACCATCCCTCCCATCTCCGGACATTACTCCAACCACTCCTTCTCCAGATGCAGGATTGTCCTGACCTTGACAGAAAGGAAAAATGCTATTTTGTCTAAATACATTCCCTCTACTAAGTCCCCCCTCCTACTTTCATACACACAAGAAGGTGGCAGCGTAGAAGCTTCCGGGGCTAGTATGGCTTTCAAAGCTGACACAATATTTTGAAATACGTTAAACTTCCGTATTTTTTAACCTAATAGGAAGAAACTTGAATGATCTAGAATTGGCAGAGCATCTTCAAAATGAAGAGGATAGGCAAAGAAGAACAGAAACTGCAAGACAAGAAAAGGATGATTTCCAAAAGTTGCAGGTATGATATTAGTCTTTTAAATGTGTATTTGACAGCCCTTCTGAATAAATAAAGTGAGAAAGTACATGTGCAGTAAGTATGAGTACCTATTTATCTTCATAGAGAAACAGATTGATCTTTGGAAGCAACTGATTAAGGGTCAGGTCTGTTTCATAAAAGAATTTATCAAAACAGGTCTGGGTTGAGTCAGTTCCTGGATGGGAACTGGATGGGAATTCAGAAATCTCATGAATCATCACACTTTACACAAAAATAACACAAAAGCTGCACAACTGACTCACACACAATGCAAACACAGCTGGACTTCACACAAAATGGCCCCTGCAACAAGCAGAAACCTCACAGAGTCACAGAGAGCTCAAAAACAAACTATCACACTTTACACAAAAATAATACAAAAGCTGCACAACTGACTCACACACAATGCAAACGCAGCTGGACTTCACACAAAATGGCCCCTGCAACAAGCAGAAACCTCACAGACAATCAGGCACAGCTGATTTTTTCACAACTGATTGGACGTAAAAACGATTGTGTGGCACAGTGATTGCCATACGTCTTTAAGCAGTTTTTTACTACCGGTTTGGGCGAACAATAGCAATTATTACTACTGGTTCAGGCGAACCGGCCCTAACTGGTAGCATTTCACCCCTGCTTATACAGTTGATTGTTATTCTGTAATTCAGTTCCTAACTATCTGTAGCCTAATACCTCAAGTTGTTTCTAGAAAATCATTCCTGGTCTGATGCCCCCAATGATTCCATTCAGCATGGTCAGTGCTAAGGCAGTAGGGAAGCTATGATTCAAGACATCAGCAATACACACCCTTAAAAGAATATTTTGTCCACCACAGAGACAATATGGTTTAGATGGTTCTGGAGGGTACAAGCAACAGTCACTAAAAGCCATGACAAAAGAAGTGGATTTCGGAAGAATGCAACCATCTGAATATCACAGGAGAAAAGCTGATATGTTGGAATCTTTGGCTTTAGGCGTTGATGATGGAAAGACAAAGACCTCAGGTTAGTAAGTTCTTGCTTCAAAACCTGATTCAGATGTCAAAAGGGGATTATTTAAATAATCATTCATCACTGAATTTTGTGATACTGTGTAGTATAGACTCATTTAAGAAATCACTGGGTTTTTCTTGCACTCTCAAATTAATACAGTAAGAATATAAAATGTTCTAAAAGTGGTGATTCTTACAAACCATATTAAGGATAGTGTTATCAAAAGTATTAACTCCTGGAGATGTAATTATTGCCTTCAGATAAAATGTATGGCTTAGTTTTTCATTTGACAATCATCATATTTATAGTCTTTCTTCCTCTGAAGAAAGAACTCATTTATCTTTCTAGGTGTAGGAACGGTGTCATTACTGTCAGGTTGTATGGTAGGCTCATTTGTTCATCTGGACAGTTATCTTTTATGAATGTGTCTCCATTTCTGTCTAATTTATTTTGATCCATAACTAAACTGCTGCTTTAATAATGTAATAGTTTCAATTAGACAATATTCAATCTAAATAAAGATATTCAATGATGGCATCCGTCAGAAAAAGTTTTTTCCCCTTGCCTAGCCTCCCTAATTAGCTTCGTCATATCAGGGGTGAAATCCACTTACCTTCGCTACTGGTGTGCAAATGGGAGCGTGCTCACACGCACGCTCACTTCGCTTGTGCGTGATACCTCTGCATGTGCAGGACCTTCTGCGCATGCCCAGAGCATAAAAAATGGGACATGACGTCTGGGTGGGTGGGCGGAGCCTCCCGCCGCCGGCGCTACTGGTTCGCCCAAGCCGGATAGAACTGGTTACATTTCACCACTGCTTCATATGTAGCCATTATCTTATTGTAATGGGATATGTTTGAAGACACATCCATAGGCAATAACAATAGCACTTAGACTTATATACCGCTTCACGGCCTAAGTGGTTTACAGAGTCAGCACATTGCCCCTAATAATCTGGGTCCTCATTTTACCAATCTCAGAAGGATGGAAGACTGAGTCAGTCTTGAGCCAGTGAGGATCGAACTCCTGACAGTGAGCTGAATTAGCCTGGAAAACTGCATTCTAACCACTACCCTACCACAGCTCTCTACTCTGGACCTGAAGTATTGTTCTAAAAGGCTTCTGTTATTTTAGCATTATAAGGCTTGTGTTGTTTAGTATTATAAAGTTTCTTATAATTGTTTGCAATAGGAGTTGGATTACGACATTGATGGATAGATTTTATTTATTTATTTATTTATTTATTTATTTATTTATTTATTTATTTATTTATTTATTTATTGGTTCGATTTATATGCCGCCCTTCTCCAGAGACTCAGGGCGGCTTACAATGTGTTAAGCAATAGCCTTCATACTTTTGTATATACCTGCTTAGTAGGGCTTTCGGGGCGCCCTAAGCGGTATTCTTTTTTATACAAAGTCATCTTATTACCCCCACAATCCGGGTCCTCATTTTACCTACCTCGAAAGGATGGAAGGCTGAGTCAACCTTGAGCCTGGTGAGATTTGAACTTGCAGTAACTGCAGGCAGCTGGTGCTATTTTAACAGCACTTAGTCAGCTGCACCACCAAGGCCTTCTTTGGAAGACCTGAAAAGCCAGGTTGAGAAAGATAATCTGAAGAATCTGTGTAGGTGCTAAAAATCAACACTGGCTTGATAGGCACATAATCAAGTCGTATCTTATAAAACTGCAAAATTGAATAATTTATAAATTAGGCTAATGCCATATATCTCCATTTCCATCTTCTTTAAACTAGGAATTACTGAAGCATTGTGCCAGTACTATCAGAATGAATGCAAAGATATAAAGCATGTGTGGCTTTCTACGGGAGTGGATCACTTTCACTGTTCTTTTGGAGACAAAGGCTGGGGTTGTGGTTATCGGAATTTTCAAATTCTGTTTTCTTCTCTTTTGAGAAATAACTCCTATAAAGACTGCTTGAAAGGTTTGTACTTTGTTACATAGTGTTCATCAGGGGTGAAATGTTCTCGGTTCGGACCGGATTGTCTGATCCGGTAGAGATGGCAGTGGATGGTTTGGAGAACTGGTAGCAAAAATCCTCGCCCCCACCCCCCATGCCCAGCTGAGCCACGCAATCATCAGAGGCTTTTTTTTTTTAACTTTTAAAAGCATTTTTTCTACAACCTCTTCTGCCGAAAAAATGCTTTTAAAAGTTAAAAAAAAAGCCTCTGATGATCGCGCGGCTCAGCTGGGATTGTCAGAGCCTTTTATAAGCATTTTTTCTATAACCTCTTCAGCCGAAGAGGTTATAGAAAAAATGCTTTTGAAAGAAAAAAAAGCCTCTGACGATCAGGCAACTCAGTTGGGATTGTCAGAGCCTTTTAAAAGCATTTTTTTACAACTTCTTCAGCCAAAGAGGTTGTAGAAAAAATGCTTTTAAAAGTAAAAAAAAAAAAAAAAAAGTTGGCCACACCCATCCAGTCACATTACCCCTCCCCACCAAGCCACGCCCACAGAACCGGTAGTAACAAATTTTACATTTCACTACTGGTTTTCATTGCAATTGAAGCAATCTACTTCAGAATAATTTTGCATAGGGTTCTCTGTGATTTAGTATTCTTTTGATTCTGGGATAGGGAACATTTAATTTTGGGAAATTTCTCAATTATTCATAAACGTTTTCCAGGAAGAAATCACTCCGCATCTCCTGTCAGCTTGTAGATATCCCCAATTCTGACATGATCTTAGCCAGGGTGGATTTGATTTAAATCGAGTTGATTTAAATCACAATTTAAATCATAATTTAAATCACTAGTAAAAAGGCTTGATTTAAATCAACTCGATTTAAATCATAATTTTTAAAGAGCAACTGTCATTTCTGCTACTCCTTTGACCCACTGTTGACTCACCGATAGTCCCAGTGTTGCAGAATATACAGCCACATGCTACATAACTAAGCTCCATTTCATGCTGAATAAACTAAATTATTTATGTATCTTAAATAGAAAACTATCTTACGATAGATTTTTACCCCAAAAGTTTTTTATTAAAAAAAAATTCGGTTTAAATCAAAAAAATCCGATTTTTTAAAAAAAATAATTGATTTTTATCCACCCTGATCTTAGCATTCTGTTGTGATACCTGTTGAATGTAATTGAGTAATAGCAAGAGACAATACTTAAAAAGAAAGGGAGTCTTCTAAATTGGAACTTGTTTTATTCAGTTGTATCCAGAGCCTGTAGACACGCAATTCTTCTAGATCTATAACAACATCAAAATTTAGATTTTCCACATTCCTTTAACAGCGAAGATTTTATTTAATATTAAACTTTTATAATATTTTATACTATTGTCTTTACTAATGTAAATGGCCACTTTGGTTTAGTAGTTAAGCACCAGGCTAGAAACTAGAAGCCTGCATTCTAGTCCTGCCTTAAGCATGAAAGCTGACAGGGTGACCTTGAGCTAGTCACACTCTTTCAGCCCAACCTGCCTCACAGGATTCTTGTGGGGAAAATAGGAGGGCATAATATTATGTATGTTTACCACTTTGAGTTTTTTAAAAATAAAGGCGGGATTAAAAAATAATGGTTTGCAACTACAACCGCAGTACATAAAGTATTAAAATAATTAGATATTAGCTCAAAATATCAATGATAAAACCCTGTTGGAACAAATTTGATTTGAAAAACTTTTTAAATGCAAATAAGGAGGTCACTTCCCTCAGTTCGTTAAATAATGCATAACAGTGATCATTTTGAACCAAAGGGGGGGGGGGGAGAAGAAGAAAACAAAAGACTGATAAGCACCATCATTTTTGCAGCCCTTTTCTCAACTTCCCATTCCTGGATTAAGGTTAAGGCAAACAACAATTACACTACCATCAACCTACATATTCTTAGGGATAGCACTTCACTACCATTTTTGAAAGGGAAGATATTATCCCTATAGGTCTTTTCCAGTTTCAGTCCAAGAGAAATGTTCTCTCTTTGATATTATGATTGTTGACAGATATATCTGTCAGTCAAAAGGAATTACAGGTAGTCCTCAACTTACAACAGTCCATTTAGTGACCGTTCAGAATTACAACAGCACTGAAAAAAAATGACATATGACAATTTTTCACACTTATAACCATTCTAGCATCTCCATGATCATGTGATCAAAATTCAAATGCTTGGCAACTTATTCATTTTTATGATGGTTGCAGTGTCCTAGGGTTTTGGGACCTTCTGACAAGCAAAAAGGAAAAACCAGATTTACTTAACAACGTTACTAATTTAATAATTGCAATAATTCACTTAACAGCTGTGGCAAGAAATGTTGTAAAATGGGGCAAGATTCACTTAAACAACTGTCTCACTTAGCAACAGAAATCTTGGGCTCAATTGTTGTCGTAAATCGAGAACTATCTGAATGTTCCAAACTAAGGACTGACCCATTCCATAATCTCTTGAGAACAAAAATTCAATGTAAATTGAAATTTCCCTATGAAAGATTTTAAATGTTACCCTCTTTCTTGTTTAGATATTTCACCAGTTCCTTGTATTCCAAAAATACAAACACAAATTGAAGATGCCTGGAAAGAAGGTTTTGATCCCCAAGGAGCTTCTCATTTCAACAGCAGATTACAAGGAACTAAAGCATGGATAGGAGCATGTGAAATTTATACACTCTTAACTTTTCTCAAGCTAAAGTAAGTGTTGACTTACCCAGGGAAGTCTTAATTCTGAGCCAAATATTTCCAATAGTATCCAGTACTAAAGAAAAGAACATTTTCTTATATTTTTATTTATTATGAACTGTGTATTTTCAGTTCATTAATAATTGAAGAACAAAAAAAAATAGTTGAAAACAACAATATTAAAAAATAGTATTTGGATAAAAGAGTTTATTATATCCACACCCTAACAGTTTCACACACATAAGTTCTTAATATAAGAGAAATCCTTTTGTAAATACAAACTACCAAATGTGAAAATGATCTTAGAAGCCAAGATTAAGGCATTTCCACACTGCTGACATCCAGTCTTCACAGAAAATCAAATTGCATTTAATAATTTTCTGACCTCCCTCCAGGAAAATACAGACAACAAGGATTAAAAAGTATTGCCCCTTATGAACTGGTGTGGATCCTTCATTCCATCTCCACCTAGGTGAATAACAAATAAAATAATAAAATTAAATTAAAATAAATTAAAAAAATAAAAATAAAAGAAGAGCCAGTTTGGTGTAGTGGTTAAGATACTGGTCCACAATCTAGGAGACTGAGTCCTAGTCCTACCTTATACATGAAAGCTGGCTTAGGCAACTCACTCTTTCTCAGCCCAGCCTACGTCACAGGGTTATTGCTGTGGAGAAAATAGGAGAAGGAAGGAATATTAAATATGTTCACTCCCTTGAGTTTCTTACAAAGTAAAAAAGGCAGAATAAAAAAAATGTATTAATTACACTTCCTTCTATGCCCATGTTTTCTTCATGGGTCTGGTGAGCAACAGTGACCTCAGGCTAACTTGATCCCTCATCCCTGCCAGGCTGGGTGCTTTCCAACATCTCTCCCATCCTGATTTTTTCCCCTTCAAATCATTTCCTACCAAGTCACTAGGAGCAGAAAACAGGATGAATCAGAATTCTTTCCAAATAGAAAAAACTATCCACAGTCTCTACAGAGTTCCTATCTTTTAAGAAAGAAAAATTAAAACTGGTATTTGTATGGTTTCATGTATCCTGCATGGCAACTAAGCCAGAAATTAATGGGCTCAGCCACTGAATATAGTTGACTTTGCAGAATCACAAGGGTCCGATTTTTAATCGAAAGGCAGAATCATTATGTGCATAGAATTTTAAAGATGCCAGATGGCATTTACAGTATGCATTGTCTGGCTATTTATGGAGACATTTTAATTTAATTTATAGGTGTCAAATTATTGACTTTCATCAGCCTACTGGCTCTTCTGGTACACACCCTCGTTTGTTTGAATGGGTATTAAACTATTATTCTTCAGGTAAAGATAGCAATGGAAAGGTTATGAGTACTTCCAAGCCACCAATTTATCTGCAGCACCAAGGTCAGTAAACTCTGTCCCGGATTGATTTTTTGTAAAATATTTCTGAAAATAAAGTTCCATTCTAGTAATTTATTCTCCGTGATAATTCTGTTACATGCTATGTGAATGATACTTCATCATGTTAAAAGCGGAGAATCTGGAATATTCAAATTTCTGGTTTCACATTTCCTGAACACTTGTGTAATTATGTTGTAATTTATTACATATCTGATATGGTGTTACTAGCACCTTTAAACATAATTTGGTGCAAATAATTTCCTGTGAATATTCATGTAAGTGGGTTTGTTCCAAAAACAAGATGTTTAGATAAGTAGCAGTTCAATATGCCTCATTTGCATTAAGAGGTTTGTAATTCTTATTTACATGTATACTGTGCATTAATATGTTTGGTTTTTCACATTGAAACTAGGTCATAGTCGTACCATTGTTGGAATTGAGGAAAGAAAAAACAAAAGTTTATGTCTACTAATATTTGATCCCGGCTGCCCTTCAGAAGAAATGCAAAAACTCTTAAAAGGCATTGATGGGAACAATCTAAAATTATTTCGAAGACTTCCAGGAGGCTTAAAGCATAAGCAATATCAAATAGTGTCTGTGGATGGTGTGCTGACAGAAGAGGAAAAAGTTGTAAGTATTGTAGAACACAACCACTGGATTAATTTTTATTGAATTAGTATAAATATAATTGTTTCTTTTAATTGCTGTTCTGTACCAACTTACCTATTTTATGTGTCTCCCATTTATAAGGCTCGTAGGCAGGCTTCTCAATTCTTCATTGCACAGAAAATTCCTTGAAATGAGAATAGCTGAAAAATGAAGGAAATTGAAGGCTGCAAAGGAGATCTGTTCATATAGGTTGTTGAGTGATGTACATAGCAATTTTTAAACATTTCAAAATAAATATTGAAATACTTAATTCTTATGTATGATTCTTTCATGATGTTGAGTTACAAATATTATATCCTATGTTACTATGTCATTACAGCCGCTTTATTTTTTAAATTTACTTGGACTGGACATGCGTTTTCAGTCTATATGAACATTAAACTGATCTCTATTCTCAGTATTCCAGGGGGATGCAAATCGTTTCCTGTAACATGAGTCCAAATTAGGACTATTCATAACTCTCAGGTTTCCAAATCAGTCTCACATCTTAATTTTTAATAGCTGGAGAAACAAAGGTCCTTTAAACTATTACTACTAACAGGAAGATGTGTTTGAAAATTAACCTAGTAGCAACAGAAATTACATCCTACTTTTCATTGGTTATCATGATTATAATGCTCTGTTTCTCCAGATTTCGATTCATGTATATCTTATTTAATTAAATATATTTGGAGGGGGGTGTTCCTCAATATTATTTTTCATGGATGTAATAACCATTCAGGAACTCAAACCTGAGAGTCTTGAAGGTGAAGAAATTAAAAACTCCTAAAGGAGATTCTGCTATTGAACTGCTGTTAATGATCTGAAAACCAATACTTTGTATGTCTCTATTCTTTAATGTACAGTTCACTTTCATGTTTTAGAGAACACATAATTGTGCTTTGTTGGCCCTCAAGGTAATCCAGACAACAAGTGCAAATATGAGTGTTAACTTTGTTGTAAGGTTACATTAACAGAACCTTCCAAAACTGAAATAACTTCTCCCCTCTTCTTTTGGTCTTTGGAAAGCTAGGGAGGATCACTTTTGAAATACTTCCCATGCCCTCTCCCCTTCTGTGGGCCAAGACATCTTGTTGTGGAGGTTAATAAATCAATAAACCATGAACCTCTATCTCTATGAAATTCTACTTAAGCAAATGAGCCTCTGAAGCAGCCTACAGCAAATGTTTTTATTTACACAATAAAAACATAATAATATATATACAATTAATAAACATCACTAAGTTACTATTATAAATTATACTGTCAGCTATCTATCTATATACATATTTATTCTCTATAAGCTATGCTATCTATGAATATTCTTCCTCAGAAGAAATACCACAATATACCACATAACTGCTCTTCTAATGGACTTCCAGACTGCTCACAGTTATCTAAAGGAAGATCCTAGAATACAATACTAGACAGAAGAGCAAACTGAATACCAAACTGAAGAGCAAAGGTTTCTGTTAAAAATCTCCTTTTTTACTGTTAACTGCGACAGTTAGGGGATGGCCCTGGAGATTCAAACATATTAGCTGCCCTCTGATTGGCCCACACATCTGTACATTCCAAAAGCCATTAATAGGCACAGCTATAGATAAATAATTTTTCTCTAACACATCTTTTACACACCAGTTAACACGCCATCTACAGCTCTTCTTCCTGACTTCCAATGTCATTCCTGCATACCCATTACAGCTTTGAGAATGAAGCCTTGTAGTCCTTATGTGAGTAGTACAATGGGCAGCATTGATGAAAGCTAGGATTCTAGAAGTATGCAGAGGGATGGAAAATTGCTTGGGCATGTAAATTTATTGGGCTTCCTATAGTCAGGTGATGAAGGACAGGAGCAGAACAGGAAGACTGATTAGATTATGGTTATGTAAAGAAGACAAAAGAAGAAAAAAATATTTTGATTGTATGGGTAGTCTGTAATAGAGAAGCTATTCACTTGAAACATTTCAATTCAAATGCAATAAAACTGCCTATAGTTTCCTTCTTTTAAAACAGGAATGTCAAACTCGATTTCATTGAGGGCCGCATCAGGGTTGTGTTTGACCTTGGAGGACGAGGGCCATGGCCAGGGTTGGCGTGGCCAGCTTGAAGTCACTCATGTGGGAGGCACCTGTGGTGGCCTGAGCACTCTGCCAGTGAAAGCAGGCTCCCGATTGAGCTCTGTTTTTGGCTGGGATGACCTACAACCCTCTGCCAGTGAAAATAGAGCTGTTTTCGCTGGCAGAGGCACTGCAGACTGGTCTTTCGCTGTTTACAGGGTGGTCCCATGGGCCAGATCTAAGCACCCCACAGGCTGGATCCAGTTTGAGGGCCTTGAGTTTACACCCCTGATCTAAAACAAGCCTTGGAATCCTTGCATTGATGCATGTGTGTTGCCTCTATTTCACACAAGCACACATACCCTGAAGATTATACTGCATGAACCTGACAAAGTGGTCTGTAGTCTGTGAAAGCTAATCCTACAATAATTATCTCAGTTGTCAAGTTATCATGGCATCCTTAGTATTCTTAGTAAACTTGTGGTGTCATACCTTCTGAGGAGTTACCCCTTTCCCCCTTGCTTTGTTTCAGTGGCCTGAGTTCTGCTAATAGTTGTCAAGGGGAAAATAAAATACTTTTTTTCCTGCAGGAATAAAAATTATGTTGCAGTAGCAAACAAAATTATACTGAAAGACACTCATGTTCCAGGACCTAGCCTCAGGGCAAATTCTGGGACTAAACAAAAATGTCAACCTGGGCTTCTATTTTCTTAATTTAAAACTAGCTACAAGAGCAAGAGCACTATATAGACTACAAGAGGGGAAATGATAAAGATCTTATATTGGAATTCCTTGACTTATGTTATACTCAGCACTTGACTATTAAAATATTAAATCATGCAATTTTTAGGTGGCCTTGCTTCATTCAATGTGAGGTGGTTGGGTTTTGCTTAGAACCTGTCTGTTTGGTTTAACCAGAACAATCTTGAACTAAATACACTCAAAACTGTAGAAATGGTGGTAGATTTCAGGTGAATCGGTAGTGGCGACAGTGGGAGGCTCTGCCCACCCACCCAGACATAATCACAGGTACTCTGGGCATGTGCAGAAGCGCCACGCACGAGCGAAGCAAGTGCGTGCTCACTCACAGTTCCGAACCAGTAGCGAAGGTAAGTAGAACCCACTACTGATTTAGTAGCTTTCTCTACAGATGAAGGGTTATGTTATCAGAATGGGAAATTCTACACCAAAGACTTCTTCCTTGCTATTGCTAAAACCTCAGAAGCCAATACATAGTATGACTGGCAAGATTAGGAAAAAAAAAAGTTGGCATTTATTTATAACCCTTTATTTTTTATAAATAACTCAAGTTTTACTATCAATAAAATTGCCTTTTGCAATTAACTGATGGTGATTTTGTCAATGCTGATGGTGTTCAAGTGGTGCTCCAGATGTTTGAGATTGCACACAAGGCATTTGGTATTAGTTTGGGGGGGGGAGGGTTGCCATAGCCATTCTATTTTTATTTGCACCGTTTTTGTATTTTGCAATTTTTCTCCTGTTCTATATTCTGCTGTCTCCAGGTACTGTCACATCCATTATTGAGACTTTGTCTTTGTTATTGACAATTGTTAAGTCTGGGGGTTATGTGGCAGGTGCTTTTCTGTTTGAATACTAAAGTCCCAGAGCACTTTAGCTTCTTCATTTTCTACTACTTTATTTTTTGATGCTGCCATATTTTGTTTACAGTACGGGTGTCAAACTCAAGGCCCGCGGGCTGAATCTGCCCTGTGGGATACTTAAATCTGGCCCACAGTGTTGGCCAAGAAATAGCAAGGGACCGCCCTGCGCTGCCTCTGGCAGCCAAAATGGGGCACGGGGGCATGTGCCCCCCTCCCCATTTTGGCTGGCAGGGTATTGCAGGAGGCCGTCCAGGCTGAAAATGGGATGGGGGGCCTCGCACACCGCCCACACCCTGTTTTGGCCAGCAGGGTGCTGCAGGAGGCATCCATCTCGTCTCACTTCACCCCATCTGGCCCATGGAGAACTACAATGCTGATCTGGCCCTCAAAATCTAGTTTGACACACCTGGTTTACAGGCAAATGGTATTGCAGATTTTCCAATGCATTGTTGCTACTTTGTCATGCTGCTGTTTGTAGTCAGTTGGCCTGATCTTCTTGCAGCAACTAACAAGGTAATCCAGTTTCTTCAGCTTCTTTGCAGAGGTGACATTTGCTTACTTGCTGTTTTCTTAATTCTGGCTTTCTATGCAATTGTTCTTAAGGCTTAGTTTTGTGCAATCATAATTAGCTCTTCTGTCTCTTCAATTTTCCTGCTCTTAGCCCTTGCCACGTCTTATCTGCTTGGCATGCAACTTTATTATGGTTTTTTGCAGTGTCAACGAGATTTTCAGATTAAAGAGTTTTATCTAGCTATCGAGCCCTTCCCAAGGATCTAAGGGCAGATGTTTAATAATATTAAAGGTAACATTATAATATATAAGCTGTTCCAAGTAAAGCTGCCTTTGGCAAAATTGGGTGATTTTATCAATTATTTTAGAATCAAGCCTCCACAGTTGCTGCTCCACATACCCTGGTCACATTGAATCCCCAAATAATTTTTTTAATGTTTTCTAATTACGGTAAAGTTTTCAAAAATAGAGCAGGAACAAGAATAAGTAGGCACAGGAACAATTAGGAGAAAAGACATCATGGATATCAAAGTATTATGGATTGAGGGGGAAATTGCCTTCTTGGTTGCTTTCCCTAGTTAGTACAATCTTATAACACCAATCTCCCTCCCTCCCCCCCCCATTCCTTACATTTAGGAATAGCACCATATTTCAAAAATCAACTTTCTCTTGTTTTTCCTGGCCTTCAACTATTCCATTGAATGAAAAGTGCTAAGCAATGAAGAAGTTGCAACTATTGAAAAAATCTTTAAATGGCTGCAAGAAAAACTTTCCCCTTAATTCCAATGTAAAGCAAGAAAATCAAACAGGTAAGTGGTGCTTTTTAAGTTTTATTGATTTGTGGCCACAGGGTGTTCTCAACAGAATACAAAACTTAGCAAGCAAGCAAGCACTTTATGAGAAGGATCACATCAGCTTCCTCAGACCTTTTAGGAACAAACAATGATTTATGAAAAGAACAAGCTTGTCCTTCACTACAAGAACAAATTACTTCTTTGGGAATTATACAGAGATAGCAAACTGAACAAAGTGAGGGTTTCTTCCACACACACACACGCACCCCTTATTCAGGACTTTGTTCCCTTATCTGTTTCATAATGGTTTTTAGTAAACTTTGTTCTGATATGGCTCTGATTACATTTGCAAATATTTGCTGATTTCAGTATCCTGTATGGCATAATATACAGTAGCTACTGTCTCTAAAGGCTTTTCTTTCATCAGGACTAATTCTGTTAGTATTTGACTTTGGAATGAACAGAATTCTGGAATTTTTTGAAGGCTGAAAAAGACACAGATAAAAGGATTTCCTCCCTCAAGCTTTACCTTGGGACTTCACCAGTCTCCAAGAATCTGACAAAACTCAATTGAAGGGAGGAGAGGAACCCTTTTCTTTCAAAGTTTTTGTTTTTGTTTTAAGTAAGCTTCATAATATCAAGGGCAATTCAAATTGACAATTGTTTTTATGGAAACAAAATACAGAAGACTGGGATACAAACAGGCTCTGGCAGAGTATATAAATGTGCTCAACATAGGTAAAAGCAAAAGAAAAAAGCATTTTTCCCAGGTGTCTTGACATCTTCTAACTACAGTATTCTTAGTTGCAAGTAGCTCGGATCATTTTCAAGTATGCGAAAGATTCTTTGATAAACCCCAAACCTTGCATTTTAGATAGTACAGAAATGTTAAGTAACTTTGCAGCTAATGCTGTCTCAGAAACAATGAAGCAGATCTTACAGTAAGAAATGGTCTCCCAAAGCTTTTGTTTCAGAGGGAAATCCCCAAGCAAATTCTTCAAATGAGTTTTTAGAAGGGTAAAACCCCTTCCTGCAAAAACTCACTCTTCCAGATTTTTAAGAGCTGAAATAATTTACCAGTCGGAGAACGACTGACCAAAACAATCATTTTTTTCACAAAAGCTTGATCTTGTTGCCAAACATGCACCTAAGGTGTACACCACACGGATCAGTCTTTTTTAACTGGTTTAAAATCCGCAGGCTGAATGGGAGGGTAGATAGCAAACTTGCTGGAATAAAGAGCAAGAGCCCACTTAGGGAAAGTGATAAAGCGGGGAATGAACCAGAGAAGGAAAGACAGCTTGGGCATCAATTCGGTAAGGCATTCCCGAACCGAAACATAATTATAGACGTCTCGCCCATCCACGTCCTTAAACCGGTAGAGCCGGGCAAGGTCTGGGCTGAGGACCACCTTGCCGCTGTGCCTCATGACGTGGGGATCCGAAGCCAAGGCCACCACGCATTTCCCGCTTACTTCGGGACTTTCTGCCTTGTTCGCCAGCCGCTCCGGCAGATCCGTGAATAGTTTCTTGACATTCTCCGCTTGCTGCATGACCAGTTCGGTGCGAACGAGCCCGGGCCAAAGGGAGACGCAGGCCACGCCGAAGGGGTGCAGCTCGACGCCACAGTCAGCCGCCAGGCGGTCGCAGGCAGCTTTGCCCACCCCGTACGGGACGTCGAACATGTACCGCAGCCCACCGGGCGAGGAGATGATGACAATGAGACCGCGCCCGGCGGGCACCATGAGCCGGGCGGCATGAACCGTGCAGAAATAGTTGCCTCTCAGGCCGGCGTTGTTGATCTGGTCCCAGAGGGACGGCTCGCTTTCCCAGAACGGCACCCCGATCTCTTTGGACAGGGTAGTCACCGCGGAGAAAGCGCTGTTGACCAAAACATCCAAGCGGCCGGCTTGCTCCTCTCGGACGCGCTGGAACAACGCCACCACGTCTTCCTCTCGAGTAGAGTCGCACACCACCGGCACGCACTTGCCGCCCCGGCTTTGCACCTCCGCCGCCGCTTGCTCCAGAGTTTCCCGGTGCCGGGCCGTGATATAGACGGTGGCGCCCGCTTCCGACAGCTGCAGCGCGACGCCTTTCCCGATGCCCCGCGAGGCGCCGGTCACCACGCAGATGTGTCCTAGCAGAGGCCTAGTCCCCGAGGCCATAGCAGCAGCGGAACAGAAAGGCGCAATTTGCTGAGCGGCTGAGGAAAACAGGAAAGCCGCGGCGACGACAGGGGCTTTTGTGGCGCTTGCTCAACTCCGTGACAGCCGCCGCGAGTCGAAAAGGCGGGGCCTCCGCTGGTTACATACAGCCCAAGCGCCAGAACCGGTTGAAGCGTCCGACCGATTTGACGCAAGAGCTTGTAGTAATGGAGAGGATTAAAGCAATCTGCTCCTTCGAGGCTCGCTCTCGGGAATAACCCAACAAATACAAACATCAGAAAGATTGTGGGGTTTTTTTTCTCTTTCTCTTTTTCTTTCCCTTCTTTCCTTCCTCTCCTTCTCTCTCTCTCTTTCGCCTGCATTTCTTCAAAGACCCTGAGACGTTTCAATCCCCCTTCATTTTAGCCCCACAATAATAATCCTGTTTCCAAAGCTAAGAAAGGATTTGAAATCTTCAGTCTTAGTAAACCCACCTTAACTCTGAAGTCTTGGGTGTGTTTTATCAACAGCAAATTTTAATCGATTTCCTCCTCCTCCACTCCCAATATTTTTTTCACATTAAATGAGAGCACCAATAAATGGGAGCAGCAGTTGGCTGGTTTAAAAAGCCTATGAAGTTTACAGTAACTGTTTATTTACTTATCTGTTTATATCCTGCTTTTATAAATTGTAAATAACTCAAGGCAGCAAACATAACTAATATTTTTTCCTCCTATTTTCTTCATAACAACCCTGAGATGGGTTGGGCTGAACAAGAATGACTGAGCAAAAGTCACCCAGCTGGCTTTCATAGCTAAAATATGACTAAAATTCACCACTTGTAACAGCTTGTTCAGCCTTAGACTGACAGCCAACTGTATTACTTTGGGTTAGTCATTCTCTCTCAGTTCACACCACCAGGCTCCGGAGATAAGCCAGTTTGGTCAATTCCTATTACAATCAATGGATTAAGATTTGATCTGAGAAAGGCAAACCCTGAAAAAAATTCCATACAGAGAAATGGGAGGAATTTGTAAATACAGAAAAAGGAGGTGCCAGTGCAGAGTACAGAAATTAAATTAAAATGTCACTGAATAATAGTTCTATCCCTATCTTTTTACATTTTCATACTATTAGATAATCTCTCTTCCTACTTTGCTCTAGCACTAATTTTTATTTATGCATGCATCATGAACATAATAATAGCATGGCAGAGGGCCATGCTATTACTGCTGTGAAAGAATTTCACCATGGACACTCCTTTCTGTGTCTTACTAATTCAGCAGAGCAATGGACAGCCTACAATTCAAGCAGTAGTCAGCAATAGTCAGATTTTACTTTGAAATGTTTAGCAAAGAAAGCAGGATTCTAATTACAGGTAGTCCTCACTTAACAACCATTTGTTAAGCAAAAGTTCAGTTATCGTGGCGCTAAACAGATGGTACTAATGCCTGGTGCTTGAAATTATAGCCATTACAGCTCCCCTATGGACACATGATCAGTTGCATTTATGATCACAAGGTGCACTTCAATTCTTTTCCATCCATCTTATCATCCCATCTCTGCCCTTTTGGTTGCTCTGCACTTCATCACTCCTGCCACTTCCAGTTGATCTTCACCGGCTTCTTTCTACTGCTGCTGACTCAGCGTATCTCACCTGGCCCTTCACAAGTACAGCTGTCTTAAGGAAGGCTGTTGGCAGGAGAGTGTACAAAGCTGCCCTGCATTTTCCTGCCTCTGCTGTCCCCCAGCTGATCTTCATTGTCTTCTTGACGAGACGTGCTTGGCCTGACCCTTCATCATCATCATCATCATCATCATCATCATCATCATCATCATCATCATAATAATAATAATAATAATAATAATTTTATTTCTATACCGCCTTTCTCCCGAAGGACTCAGGGCGGTGTACAGCCTGTTTAAAAACACAAACAAAACAACAATATAAAATTTAAAATAATTAAATAAAGTGGCTCAGATTTAAAACCCCAATAAATTTAAATATCCCAATTTAAAAACTATTGTGTTGTTAGTCCGGCCTGGCGGAATAATAGGGTCTTCAGTGCGCAGCGAAACGCCCGGAGGTCGGAGATCTTACGAATTTCCGGGGGCAGTTCGTTCCACAGGGATGGGAAATGGTGTCATGTAATAGCTGTTGGCTGCATGCAGCCTTCTTCCATTGCTTGTGAGCTGCCCTTGACTTGTGACTTCCTGGCAGCTTCCTCATTGACTTTGCTTGTTGAAAACTGGCAGGAAATTGTGAGGAGACCCTGTCTTAACAACTCACAGTACTTGCTTAATGACAACAATGAAAACTGCTGAAATTGTCATCACTAAGCAATGCAATCATGATCTGTGCTTTCTGATGGCATTGCTTAGCAGCAGAAATTCCGGTCTCAATTACCATCCTTAATTTAGGACTATCTGTCAGTGTAAGCTTAATTAGTAATTTCCATTTGGAAAAGTTTTGCTAGACGACATCCAAAATTGCAATATATTATTAGAGAAGTAAGGCTGCCTAAGTATAGCAGCATAAAAGGAACAAGCTTACATACTTTCTTGTCTTTCATCAGGAAAAGTGTTAGAGGACAACTATGTCAATTGTATATTTCACAGAAAGATCAGAACACAGAATAGTGCCAGTGGACCTTCAGTGTAATTCAGAATCAGTTTAGTTCTTTGAATTCCTGACCATATTTAGAATGGTATGAAATCTTAATTATTAACCTCAAATCAGTTTTCATCACAACAATGCTTTGAAAATTGGGGTATAAAAATAATAATTGGTCTGATCAGAATTGTGCAGAGTTATAAAAGCATGTAGTAAAAGTAAAAACCTCCCTTCAGAGGCCCAAATAATCTGTTAAAGAGCTTAAAGGTCCAATATAAGGCTGTCTTAAAAGAAAAGAAAAAAATGGCGTCAAACTGGCAGCCTGCAGGCTGGATACGTCACACACAGGCCACGCCCACCCAGACTCCGCAAAGGCAAAAACCGTCGTGATACGTCACGTGACATGATCGAGTTTGACATCCGTGTTGTATATCACCAGAGGATCGGGAAAGTCACTGGCCCTCTCCACTTAATCTAGTACTAACTCAAGCTTCAAAGGAATATTCCAGAGGGTTATATGTAGACCTTTTGTAACTTGAATGAGAGTCAGTCTGATCTTGAGCAAGTGCATAATTGGCCTAGTTTCGGTGCAAGAGACATCCTGATTGACTGAATATCTTAAAGCCAATGGGCTCCAGATGCTGATTGTGTTATGCCCATGATTAAAAATAATCTGTCATGGAATGTAGTCCAGAGGCCCTCTCCTAGAGGGCAAAGAGAAAACAAAGTTAGGAATCTTTGATATGTAGGAAAAGGACGAATGTGGGCCCTCCCTAGTATTTCACAAAGTATATTTAGTTATGCAGGTTGTTGGTTTAATCTAGCAAGATTTATGAAAAACCTAAGGAATCAATAATGTCACACGGAGTTACATCTGAGTAGTTTATTGTGTTCACCTATTAAAGGAAAACTTATGATAATAGTTCTTTTATTCTGAACAGTACAATGTATAAATTGCATTATAAAAACCCATTTTTTCATTTTCATTATTGTTACTTATACAGATCTATAACAAGGCAGAAGGAGCAAGATTCCACTTATAGAAAATTACATTTACTCTCTTCTTGAACCATATTGGCAGAGATAGGGTAAGGCCATCAAAGAAACTACAGTTTATCTCCGTGATGGCGAACCTATGGCAAGCGTGCCAGAAGTAGCATGCAGAGCCATCTTTCTGGGGCATACCAGCTGTCGCCCATTGCTCTTCCAGATTCTGGCATGCACATGCGCACCAGCCAGCTAGTCTTCATGCATGCATGCACGCTAGAAAACGGAAGACCAGGTGACCGGCGCACATGTGCACCAGGGAACTGCTCTTCCGGCGCTCCCAAGCGTGCGCACCAGGGAGCTGCTCTTCTGGTTTCCAGTGCTCCCCCCTGCACGCACGCACTCCTGTTTTGGCACTCGGTGCTGAAAAGGTTCGCCAACACTGGGTTATCTTAAAGTCTGTGGTTACCTTCTTTTATTAATAGCCACAGTGGGCACCAAGAACTATCATATTCACATACCAATATTACAAATTAACTCCCCTCCATACTCTCCACAACACACATTACAGATTGAAAACTTTAATAATTTATTCAAGGAAGAGAAGATAGAATTGAAGAGCTGAGAGCCAAATGCCTGATGATCTGAAAAATCACAAACATAAAGAGGATTTAAAAAAAACAAATCATCATTACATTAAGCAAATAAACATTCGGCTTTTAAATTGCAATCTCTGCAAAAACACATTTATAGTAATGCCATTGTCCATTAAATCCTGAGAAATTCCTTAAATTCCTCATCATCTTTCCATCAGAGATGATGCCAACATATATTTTTATTACTTTTTTAAATATTCAGTTTCAGAATCTTCTCCATCTCCCAGGAATATGTAGCAGCTATAACAATTCCACCTTGCTTGTTTTTCTTTTGATAAGACTGAAACCCTTAAATGTAACACTTTAAGTTATAATTTTAACAGCTGTATAAAAATAATCCACTTTTTCCAGGTTGTCTTTTCTTGAGGATCATTGCTGACTACCAACTCTGAATGGTTGAAACCAAGAACTTATGAAGTGAGAGAACTTGACAATGTGTCTAAGTGCCAGCTGCTAGCATTATACTGGAAAAATAGTATAATTTCTCTTTTATTGCAGATACTCTTACGTTGGTAGGGAAAAAAGCAATATGCAGAATTGTTGGATTTTAAAGGGCTTAATTTCTCAGATGATTTGGTGAAACCTGAGCACCTTGAGACAGTAGAAAAATTCAAAGTCAGGATAGTAATATGTTGTCACTTATCCAAAATGTGGTAAGAATTCTGTAATATGATACGAGCAATGTATTTTTAAATTTCATACTGTAACTAAACTTTCTCTTTGGGAAGATTTATTCTCTCCCTCCGTATGTTTTAAATAACACATCTTGTTGGAAATAATCTGAAATTAGTAGACATTAATATTGAAAGGGCATATAATTTGGTAAATTAAAAAAAGAGTATCTAAATAATTGTCCCGTGGTGGCATCCTTTACTGAGCAAGGGAATTCTGCATAATTCGAGTCTTGCTTTCTGTCGTGGGAAAACCCTACCCAGAAACAAAAGATTTAACTTCCTTCCTCTGCTTTCACCCATGAGAAAGAAGGAAC